CACACTTCAGTGTTTCTGGAAGAAGGGGGTCACACTGGGAGAGTGTGTGTCTGCACAGCATCTGTCTTGCTGTGAGCTGGTGTGCCTGCTTGTACATGCACAGCGGAGGCTACCTGAATGTCTCTGGGCTGGGTGTGTCTACATTTTAGGAGTGGGGGGGTGTCTGTCAGCTCACCGAGTGTGTACCTGCCTCAGTGGGGTGAAGAGCCTTCGCCTGTCCCTTATGGGTCTGTTGTGTGGTGAGGCATTCCGAATGGATGTCTTGGTGCATTCTGGGCTGTGTGGGTGGGTGCCCCCTGGGCCCCTGTGTTGGGGGCTGTGTCTGTATTGGTGCGTGTGTGTGGGTTCTCACAACTGTGTGTCACTGAGTGTGACTGAGTATTGGGGGCTGTCTGTCACAACGTGTGTGTCTGCTGCTGAGGTTGTGGGTCCTCTCTCTAGTTGTGTGTTTCAGCAGGTACAACACATTTGAGGACATGCATTTGAGGACAGGTGGTGTTTCTGGGTTGGGTTGTGTGTCTGCATGTGTGTGCCCAGTTGCACATTGTCATCTTTGGGGTCCTGTGGATGTGTCTGTGATACAGTTGCTTCCCCACTAGGACATGTTCTGGGTGTGGAATGGGCCAGAGCCCACGTGTTGATGGAGCCCTGTCATCCGAGGTACAACTGAGTTAAGAGAAAAAATCTCCCTTCAGGGAGGAAACTGCCTGGCCTTCTCCAACCTAGGCAGGCAGGCATTAGCACTGCCTTTTATACACCAAGCAGCCTGGACACATCTTGCTTCTCCTTGCTTCCCACTCCTGAAATTCTAATAAGTCAGAGAGGGCAAGGAACTGCTCTGGGACCACACAGCAAGTGGATAGGGAGACCTGATCTCCTAGCTCAGCATCCTCCTCCTCCCCAACCTCCTTCCCTTTCTTGCAGGCTCTTTATAGGCTAATTCTGCCTTCTGTTTTCAAGCCTGGGTCTGGGGTCTCTGAGGTGGGGGAAGGGAACAGAGGATGTGGCACAGGAGTGAGCACAGAAACGGGACCCTGGGTCCAGGGCCTTCTGGATGGGAGGTGAGATTTAGGGGTGGGCAAGACCCCCCCCCCCCATTTCCACCCAGCTTCTGGGCATATTCGGACAATGGAGTGCAGGACACCCATGAGTGTGCAACGCGTAATGCTGAGTGAGCTGTGGGTGTTACAGAGTGTGGGTGCCTGCATGGGGTTTGGGAGGCTGTCCTACTGTCATGGTGTCACCCTGTGTGTGCCTTTCTTGGTTGCTTGTGTGTCTTGACAGGTTGACACGTGTGTCTTGATGCTGCACTCACTGTCTCCACCACACTGTGTGTCATTTGGGCCTTTGGGGTGCTGTGTATCTCTTGTCATGGTTGTGTTTTTAGTGGGTCCCAGTTCTGAGGGGCCTGAGATGTGTAATTGTGAGTGTCGGGATGGGTGTGCGATGCTGGGTGTCTGCCGTGTCCACTTTGGTGGCACATTGTGCATGGTGTGTTGTGTTCCAGCAGGAGTGTGGCACTCTGGTGCATCTGTGTCCCCCGGTGTAGCTGGGTGTCCCTCAAGGGTCAGTGGACATCTGTGTGACGTGTGCTGTGGGCATCTGCAGACACACACTGCTCTCAGACCGACACAGCATGGATGCAGGGAGGGGACATGGGGACGTGAAAGGCATGTACACGGAAAGGGCCAGAGACAGGTGCACACAGGCCGTCTCGTCTGGATGTGCCAGGCTGGGTCATCTGGGGGCTTTGGGGAGAGATGGAGCAGGGGGCCAGGGACAGGGAGGAGGGGAGACAGCAAGAGACAGGCATTTCAGAGTGCAGGAGAGACCAGAGACCTCCCGGGCAGGGGACCTCCCCAGGATTGGGGCACAGTGGGGACAAGGGCTAACCCCTGGGGTTGGGGTGCAGTGGGAAGAGGGCTAATGCTGTGGAGGGGGTGTCCTTCCCTGCAAGCTGCCCCCTCCCACAGTCAAGAATGCAGGAGACTGGTCCCTCCCACACTCCACCCCAGGACACTGAACCTGGGAGAGTTGTGCCAAGGTAGGGGATCAGGCTGGAAGTGCCAATCCAGGGGCCCCGATGACTGAGTTCTCTCTCACTATTTGGACAATTTGGGGACTAGACACCAAGTGGGGTACAGAGTGGGAACTGGGTCCCTAAAGATGCCTGAGGCTGGGTGGCTGCTCATCAGAGACTGGGCGTTGGGGGAGGGCTGGACGCCTCCTGGTTCCCAAGTCCAAGCAGGACCCAGAGCCCTGGACTTGGCGTCCTGACCTGCGGCCACTCCCCTGCTTCTGTCCCCAGGGTTTGCCTTCCCAGATTGGGCCTACAAGCCGGAGTCGTCCCCTGGCTCGAGGCAGATCCAGCTGTGGCACTTTATCCTGGAGCTGCTGCAGAAGGAGGAGTACCAGGGTGTCATCGCCTGGCAGGGGGACTACGGGGAATTCGTCATCAAGGACCCCGACGAGGTGGCTCGGCTCTGGGGCATCCGAAAATGCAAGCCCCACATGAATTATGACAAGCTGAGCCGGGCCCTGCGGTGAGGAGGGGCTGGGGGCCTGGACTCCCACTTTGCCCCTTCTCCCCTCACTGTCCCTCTGGACCCTACTCCCAGGGACTTCCCCTCAACTCCCTGGGGCAGAATGCCAGTGGAACCCACCACACGGGGCGCACAGGGCCGTGGTCCTCTAATTCCTTCCTTGAGAGTAAAAGGAAGGCAAGGAGGAATGAGGGGAGCCCCGGGCGTTGGAGCCACACAGGCCGGGATCCCAGCCCCGGCCTCACCCCTTCCTTACCCTGGGACCTTGGTCAAGGGTCTTCTGTGAGCCTCAGTCTCCTCAGATTGCTGTGTTCTGTGCACTGTGCCCGGCACTGTGTTGGGGCCTCCCCAGCATCGCCCCCCATTCTCCCTCTCCCCATAGCTACTACTACAACAAGCGGATTCTCCACAAGACCAAAGGGAAGAGGTTCACCTACAAGTTCAACTTCAGCAAAGTCGTGCTTGTCAATTACCCACTGTTGGACGTGGCGGCGGCCACCACGGGCTCCCCACTCTTGCTGACACCCGGTCCCTTTGGGGGAGGCCCTGGGCCAGATGCTCCACCCCTCACCCCTGAGGTGAGTTAGTTAGGACATGAGGGTCCCAGAACTGGGGCGTTTGGTGGCCCCCCAGCCATGAACCCCCTGGGGAGGGCGCAGCCAGTCTAAGCGGCACCGCCTCCCTCACCTCCCTCTCCAGACCCTGCAGACGCTGTTCTCTGCCCCACGCCTGGGAGAGCAGGGGGCCCGGGCACCCCTGTTCACCCCCGAGACAGACAAGCTGCGTCTGGACAGCCCGTTCCCGTTCCTGGGCTCCGGTAAGGGCCTGGGGGTCCAGGGGTGGCGCCGGGGGGATGCTGCAGGTGTTTGAGGGAAGCGATGAGCAAAGACAGGGAGGACAGACAGGATGAAGGAAGGAGGCTGCTCGTGTCTGTGTGTATATGTGTGTGTGTGTATGTGTATGTGTTTAAAAGCCAGAGAAGGCACAGAGGAGGGAACTGGAGAGGGGGACGGCCTGGGATAAGGGCTCTCAGGGGCACTAAAGGAAAGGGGAGAAGAGTAGGGGAGGTGGAGGAGATAGGGGGAGCCACATGAGGGTGCGGAGATGTAGTGGGGGGAGAATGGGATGGAACTTGGCAGGGAGGTGGCACCGTTTACTAATGCCCAGGCAGGCCCCCCATGGTAGAAGTGTGGTCCAGCCTGACCCACCCCCTGTGCCCCCCAGGTGCCACTGGCTACTCCAAGCCCCCTGGCCTGCTGGGTCCTTATGGCCGCGCCTTCCCAGAGTACCCCTGGAACTTTAACCCATACCTCACTGGCCCCTTCCCCAAGTTGCCCCCTTCTCTCTACCCCCCGCACTTCTACCCTAACCCTCTGGCCAGTTCCCTGGGCCACCTGCCCTCAGCAGGGGCAGGGGGAGGCCCCACAGCCCAGCCCCTACTGGCTGCAACAGGGGAGGGCCTAGGCCACGAGCGTCCCTCAGGCCTGACAGCAGCCCCCCGCCTGGCACTGCCGGGGGCTGGGGGTCCAGAGGCCACACTGGGCGGGAAGGAGGACAGCGACTCGGAGCTGGAGATTACCGACGTCAGTGGCTGCAGCTCTGACAGTGAGGGCGATGAGGGCCCCCCTGTGCCCCCCAAAGCCAAGGCGGGCAAAGGGGGGGTCGGCAGCTGAGCTGGCATGGGGTGATGGATTCTGCCGAGGCAGGGACCAGGGCAGCCGACTGTGCAGCATCTTCTGTCTTCTGGTCTGCCCTCGATGTCCCGCCCAAGGCCCAGGACCAGCCCTCAGCCCCTCCCAGGGCCGGGGCACATCACTGCCCCAGTCTCCTTCCCCAACCCCAGAATGAGGGTCTCACCTCCCTCTCCAGAGGGGGAGAGGGAATGTGATGGCCTCCAGCCTCCTCCCCAGGTTCCAGTTTGAGGGGGGTCCCTGCCTGGCCCCACTCCCGAAGTGCAATACGGCGCCCAGCCTCCCCTGCCCACACACCCCCTGTGCTGTAACCTGCGTGTTTGTGTGGCCGTGACCCCCCCCTGTGCCGGCTCCAGTCCTGATCCCCCATCACACAGGCCCCCTGGGGACAGGGAGCTCAGAGCAATAACCCCGCCCCCAGCCCCCACCCAGGAGGGCCCCCCCCACAAGCTCCCCACGACCCCCAACAGCCACTTCCAGAGAGTTTACTACAAAAATAAAAGAATGGAAAGGAGCGTGAGATGTGGGGCACCCAGCGTTGTGAGTGATCATGGGGCTTGGGGGTGGGAACTGGGGGTGTGTTGGGGGGGGTGCCCGGGGAGTAACTGCTAAAACACAAGAATGAACAAATGAACAACTGAAGAAAGGCAAGAGGCAAAGAGGCAACGTGGTGGGACAGACGCAGGAAGGCAATGCCAGACAGTAACGGAGGGTTCCAGACGCCACTCCAGGGCCCCCGCCCCACCCTCACAAACACAGACCTCTCCTTAGATAATATATATTAAAAAATAAACCTCCAATTCAGGGTATAAAAACAGAGCAAAGGCACTTGGGGGTGGGGGGTGGCCCCCCAGGCAATACTGAGATGGCCCGGGAAACTGGGGTCACCGTGGTGCTCCCTCGGAATGAAGCCCTGAGTCTCCCAAGCAGAAGGCAGGAGAGAAGGCCAAGGCCCATGGGAGGTTGGCGGGACAGTGATCCCAGCTGGGCCCGCCCAGGCGTGGCCCCGGCAGCCTGGCACCTTCTCCTCAGGCCCTTGGGGTTGGAGATGCTGCAGCAGCTGTACGGTTGGGGGGTGGCCCTCACGTCCTCTCCTTCTTGCAAAAGGCCTGGCGGGATGTAGGAGAAGAAGGGAGACAAGGAGAGAGAGACGGGGAGAGGGAGTTGGAGATGGAGAGAAACAAAAAGAGGGGAGAAGAGAAAAAAGAATAAAAACAGGGGAGAGAAGGGGAGAGAAAGGGAGGGTGGGAGAGAGAGAGACAGCTCACCAGAGCCAGGGAAACAGGAACTGACGGAGAGATGGAGAGACAGGAAGTGGAGTTGGGGAGATTCAGAAAGACAACTATGGAGGGAGAGAAACGGATGGGGCTGTGCAGAGCGGTGCCCATTCTGGTTCTTCCTCCCTGGGCAGCACTCGGACCCCCTGGTCCCTCACTCACCTGCCTGGGGCAGGAGCCTCAGGTACAGCCAGGCTGGGGGATGGTGTTCTCCCCAAGCTGAGACAGAAGGACTCGCAGGCGACAAAATTCCTCCTCCACCTCCTGGTTGGGGGGTCATCAATGAGAGGGGTCCCTCCATTGAGTTAGCCCCTTCCTTCCCCACCCCCAGGCCACCACCTCCAGCTGTTTAATGGTCTCCTCCAGGCTGAGTAGCTCCTCCCGAATTTCCTGGGTCTGTGCCGGGCTCAGGGGGCCACCCCCTGGGACCCCCTCTCCTTCACGGGGAGGCCCCGCCCCGCTGTCTTCCTCCACGGGAAACAGGAGTTGCTTCAGGGACAGCACTGGCCAGGGGCAAGGGGAGAGAGTCAGAGGTGGAGCTGGGGCTGGGATGGGGAATCCAGAGGGGGACAGGTGAGGGGTGAGGGCTGGGAAAGAGGCCAGGGGCCTGCGGGCAGGAGGGGAGGGTGGACGCTGGGCAAGGCTGAGCTTTGGGTTAGCCAGGCCTGCAGATGGGTCTGGGGGATTCAAAAAGTGGTGCAGAGATGAGGCTGGGGCTAGGGTTGGGGAGAGGTGAGAGGGCACCAGGGATAGAGATGGGTCCAGGGAGAGGCTGAACTGAAGGTCAAGGAAGGGACGGAGGCTGCAGAAGGAAGAGGGACTTGGGGTACCAAGGACGGTGGTGCGGCCAGGGTGGTGGGCACGGTGCATTTGTTTCTGGCAGTGGGGCGTGAGGCAAGTTGGAAAGCACCATTTGGGCAGGTGGCGGCCCTGGAGGGGACAGGGCTGGGTTACCTTTCCCAAGGGCCTTGGCAGCGAGCTGGCCCTCAGGGCCGAGTCTGCAGAAGGGCAGGAGGGCGCTGGGGATTCTCTCGATCCGGCCTGGGCGGAGGAGCAGGGAGGGTACTCAGATCCTGCTAGGCTTCCTGTGGACACTCCCACCCCCACTCGGCGCCCCTCAGGCTCACCATCAGCTGGGGGCATCTCACGGCCACAGCTGCCATTTTCAGAGCTGCTGAGCAGGGGTTCACGGGTGCTGGGGGGAGGAAGAGCTAGGTGACATCACGGCCTTGGCCCCGGGGGGCAGCAGGGGCCAGGAGACAGAGAGCTGGGGAGGCCCGGAGACAGAGAGAGAGGTTGAGGCTGGGAGACAGGGAGCCAGAGGCCTGGAGAGGAGCCAGACAGGCAGTGGTGTTGTGACACATGCACACATATGCACACGCATGCACTACACACACGTGCGCGTGCACACACACACGGAGACAGGGCTGGACTTCGGGTTCTGGGGATATACAAGGAAGCTGCCCCCGGCCCCCCGGCCCTCCAGTTCCCTCCCTGGCCCCTCACCTGCTTGGGCTGGGCCGGTGTTTGTGGCGGGAAGCAGGGGCAGGCACCTTCAGGGATCCGGCGGTCTCGGTGATGAGGGCACACCAGCTGGGGAGACAGGCCAGCCCCTGGGCAGTCAGAGCCCCCAGAGTCTGTGCCACAGCCTCCCACCTCCCCCAGTTCCCGGGGACTCAGGGGCCTGGGCTTCCTTCTCCGCCCGCGTTCCAAACCCAGAATCCCTCACTTCTTCCGCTCCGACACTGTCTGCGCCACCAGCTCGTATATCTGAGCCTCCTGATCCCAGGTAAAGATGACATAGAAGGCTTTGTGATCTGCAGTGGGAGGGAGAGGTGGGGCTCAGAGCCAGGGTCACCCAATGTGCACCCTCTGTGAGCACCAGCTGGAGGCTGCGAAGCCCTCAGTGATGCTGGTGCCCTCAGGGCCCCCACAACTCAATTTGCCCCTCCTGTGCCCTCCTTCCAGGCCCTCCCTCTCTCACGCCACAAGTCTCCCACCGGCTCTACCTACAGAACCCCTCGAGCCACTCCCACCACCGTGGTCCTGGTGCAGTTTCTTGGCAGCACATTTGCAAATCCCTCCTCACTGGGCTCCCAGCTGCTACCCCTGCTCCCCTACAATCCCCAAGTGGCAGCCAGGGTGTCTTCAAAATACTGATCAGAGCTGGCTCCTCTGTGCAAAAACCTGGGGCAGTTTCCCATCTCACGTAATAAAGCTGACAACCCGGCCTGGCCCCTGGTCCTGCCCAGCTCTCAGGCCTCTCTCTCATGGCCTCGGCCTCAGGCCTGCCAAGCCTTCCCGCTTCTCAACCTCTGCAGCGGCCTCCCTTTTGCCAGAACGCGCATTCCCAGCTCTCAGAGGGTCCTGCTCCCCACTCCTCAGGCAGCTCTGCCCGGGGCCCCCCGGGGCCAGGCCTCACCGGTGGCCACCTCCCGGGTCATGGCGGAGGTGAGCCGCAGCACCGGCCGCAGCATGGTCTTGCCGTCAGGTGTGGGTGTCAGTGTCCGGCTGTGCGACTTGAGTAGCAGCCGCTCGTCCTGGCGCTGGAGCAGCAGCAGCAGGTCGTCCAGCAGCAGCACGTGGACCTCTGCGGGGGGCGAGGCCCGTGCTCAGCACTCCCCACCTGAGGCCCGCCCCCTTCAGCCCCCGCTCGCTGCCCTGGCGCTCACCCACAGCCTTGTCCTTTGTCACCCGCCACGTCAGCGGGCCCTCGTGAACCAACTTCTTTTTGGTGATGTCCAGGTTCTGCAGGCAGGAAGGAGTGACGGTCGGCGCAGGCAAGGGCGGGGCAGGGGAGGGTGGGGGTGACTGTGAGGCCAGGTACTGCAGTCAGGGTCAGGATGGGTACCCCAGCTGGGAATGGGGAGGGGGTCAGAGCTGAGGGGACACTCTCCCTCCCTGGGCACATTCTCAGAGAATCCCCTGAGAAAGCAGGGCCAGAGCAAGAGAAGAGAAGAGAAGGGGGACCACCTTGAACTCGCTCAGCATGGGGTCGCTGCTCTGCCGCAGGTGGGACAAGTCCAGGCGCCGCTGATAATCTTTGAGCCGCTGGAACAGGAAGGGAGTGTCAGGCGACAAGCCAAGGGCTGAGGTTGACCCACAGTGATACTGTGGGGGACAAGCCGAGGGCTGGGCCTGACTTCCAGTGACCCTGAGGGGGAAGAGCTGAGGGCCAGGCCAATCCTTGGACAGGCAATGACCCTGAGGCGGACAGCCCAGGGCCGGGCTGACCCTTGCACACACATGCCCCACTGCCCTAGGCCTCAGGGCACACCCAGGCTCACCAGCAGGTCCTCCATGTCACGCACGGCTTGGTTGACATGGTGCAGAATTTCCCGGCAGCACTCAGCCGCCAGCTCCACTTTCTCCCGTTCCGCAGACTGTTCTGTGGGCGAGGCGGAGACCAGCCCCAGTGAACCCCAACCTTGGAAGCTCCTGGTCCTGCGGCCAAGGTTAGAGACAGGAGAGCCGGGGCCCAGCAGGGTGATCCGGGCCCGGCAGTACCTGTGTTCTGCCCGATGCTCTGCAGGAGCAGGGGGTACTTGGTCAGACGCTGCATCTCTGTGGGGATCATGTCCTTCAGCTGCAGGCGGCGGCACCGTGGCCGGCTCTCTGCCTCCTGAGGGGACAGCGGTGCTGAGGTGGCCCATGCTTGGGCTTGCCTTGGGGACCGGGACACCAGTCCCCTCCTCCCGGGGACTCCGGGGCCCACACCCGCACTCACCTGCACAAAGGCACAGAAGCGAGGCTCCTTGCGCTGTTTAGCTTTGAGCTGCTCTAAGGCAAACGACTGGCGGCTGCAGAAGCGGGAGGAGATTTTCTGGAACCATTTGCCCTCAGCACCATCAAACTACAGCAAGATTCAGGCCAGGGAAGTGTCTCAGGTGGGATTGGGAAGAGCGGGGCCTTGGGGATGGCAGCCTAGACAGGAGGACAGGGCTAGGGGCCTGGACCCCGGGTCTTGAGGGGGGAAAGGCCTGAGACCTGGCCTCCTGGGGCCTGGATTCCAGGTCCCTGGCTGGGAGGAGGGGATAGGGGCTGGGCTGGGCGCCCTCACCCGGGCCAGCAGCACATCTCCGATCTCCTCAATGAGGTAGCCACTGTCCTGCCTCCGCTTCATCAGGTGGTCAAGGAACAGGGCTGCAGGAGCAGAGAGGAAAGGGAGAGCTCTGTCAGGGCCGAGAAGACTGTACATAGAGCTACTCAGGAGCTGGTGGGGTTTGGGCTGAGTCTGATCCAGTGGGCCTGCCCCCTGCCATGCACTTGTTGATGTTCCCCCTAGAATGTGAGCTCTGGGGGTCCGGGGCGGGGTTGTCCCCAGTGCTAGAACAGAGGCTGCCCACGCTAGGCTCCAGGTCTAGCTGCCAAAGCCGCGAAGGAGGGAGCTGGCGGTGGGGTGTGCAGTGGGGCCGCGGCCCGGTACTCACAATGCACCTCGATGAGCTCGTCCAGGCTGGGGAAGATGTTCTGTAGCTCCTCCTGGGAGAAGAAGCCCCCTCCCGCCATGGGCTGGTAGAAGAGGTCGTGCAGCACCCGGAGCATGCGCACGTGGGCTGCCTCCGTCACCAGCAGCTCTGCAGGGTCACCAAGCAGGAAGCATGGTTGGGGAGGATGCAAACTAGTGGGGGGCGGGGGTGGGGGGCGTCTGAGGCAGGCTGAGGGAATGAGAAGGAGGGGACAGGATGGGGACAACTCTCTCTGGGTGGAGTTATTTGCCCCTGAAATAGCCATTGAGGATTCCCTGACGCACTGCTTTTCCCTTTTGGCCGTGGCAGACAGCCAGGGTGACCAATGGTCCCAGCTTGCCTGGCACCAGCACTGGTGGGTTTCCCAGGACATGAGATTTTCAGTGCTAAAACTGGGCAAGTCCCAGGTGAGTTGGTCGCACCACCACCAGCAGGCCTGCAGTTGTGTTTATGTCTAACCTTCCAGGAAGTTTCTCAGCCTTGGTTTCTGGCAGAATGATTATTCCCTCTACACACAAGTTGATAGCCTCAGATCCAGAGGTCCCCAGAGGGTGCATGCCTGAGTTCCAGGGTCCCCAGAAGTCCCTGGAGACTAAATGCATGATTCTGTGTGTTATATGTATTTTTCTGGTCAGAGAAATTGCTATGCTGTCCGATGTGGTAGCCACTAGTCATTTGAAGAGCCACTAGCTCTTCAAGTTTTAATTAGTTAAAATGAAATGAAATACAAAATTCAGTTCTCAGTTGTACTCGGCACATTTCAAGCACTCAACAGCTATTAACTGGCTGGTGGTTACCATGTTGGAGAATGCAGATATTGCACATTTCCATCATTCCAGAAAGTTCTGTCCAATAGCACTGCTTATGTTTTGATCTTATCCTTAAAAGGACCTGTGACCCAAAAAGTATTCATCTACTGCCCAAAAAATTCTGAATGAGTACCCTCCTTGCTATTAAGTAATCTGTAAATAAACTTCCAAACAAGCTTCCAGAAAAGTGTTCTACTTTTGCCAAACATTCTCTACACACAATTTGAAATAACAGAAAGGAATCAACATGGGAATGATACTCCCATCGTCTCTCTGCCCAAAAGCAAGCACTGCTAATAGATTATCTTCCCAAATGTTTCCCTGGGGAATCCATCTTTCCCTGGAGCAGTTAAGAGCAAGGTAACAGCAGCGTTGCATTCAAACGCTCTTACTTTGTGCCCAACCCTTCACGCTAATCATCTCATCTTCATGACATCTTTTGAGGTGGGAACTATTACTGCCCACGTTTCACAAATAAAGAAACAAAGGCTATGCTGGAAATACAATTGTATATATTGTTTCCGGTTCTTAACATCAGCACTGTCCTGTACTACTAAAAATTCTCTGGAAATATCACTTTGCCACCACAAGCCCGTTTCATTGAGGGGCTGTTCTACAATTTAGTAACAAAGGGCCCTCTGTCGGACACAGGCTGTCTTCAAGTTCTGTCTGTTGTAAGTGACACCCAGACGGACATCTCCCTGCATCTGCCTCTCTCTCTGCCACAGTGGATTGGGTCCTACGTCACAGTGGGTTGGAGGGGGTGGCACTCACCGCTGATGACCTCTTGCCGCTTCACCTGGCTCTTGGGCAGGCTGTGCAGGGTGTCTGGGGGGACGAGCTCCCGCCAGCCGGGGGGCTCCTCGGGTTCCAGCTCTAGTCCCGACCGCCCTGGCTCCCCCTCATCTCCAGGCTCGGGGCTGTGGGACAGAGGCCTTGTTAGGACCCCAGCTTGGGGTGTCCCAGAGAGGAGCCTTCAACTCCTTAGTGTCCAACCCCCTCTGTGGCCTCAGCATTTGATGCTCCCCAGGTGACCCATGCTGCAAACCACCCCAAATTTCTAGAAAGAAGCGTCCCCCCCGCCCAGTGACAACAGTCGGCCCTCAGCATCCGATACCCAGTTCTCTTTGACTCTGGCAACAACTCCCACCCTGCTGCCATCCTCCCTGACTCTCCAGGCTGCCTCAGCAGATAGGGGGGAGGAGTGACGTACGTGGCTCGTCGGGCAGGGCCAAGCACGGCCGTGGCAGAGCTGGGGTCCATGTCCACGTCACTCCGGGAGCGGCCCCCACCCCGGCCCTTAGCCCCGAGGCTGCCCCGGGAAGGCCGGCGGCGGTCACTCACCCGCAGGCTCTCCGAGCGCCCCAGACGCCCCGATAGCCTGGACCCCGAGGCCAAGAACAGAGTCAGGCAGAGACCAGGACAGAGATAGACAGAGACCAAGACAGAGACAGAGACAGGGAGAGACCCGGACAGAGACAGACAGGGAGAGACCAGGACAGAGACAGAGACAGGGAGAGACCAGGACAGGGAGAGATGGGAAGAGACCAGGACAGGGAGAGACAGGGACCAGGACAGGGATACGGGAGACCAGGACAGGGATCAAACATGCAACAGAAGAGAGAGTCAGAAGGAGCAGTGGGATTTAGGGGTGTTGGGGCAGTGGGGGTGGTCAGGAGGGATACTGAAATTTGGTGGGGGAGGGGAGGGGAACCCAGTTTGAGCACAGGACTGACCCCTCCCTTCCCTGAGGCAGGGGGATGGGGCAGAGCTGGGAGTTGAGGTGGGGAAGAGGGATTCAATACTTAGCTCTTCAGCTGGGAGGGTGATGTCCCCACCCACCCCTCGCAGGGGTGAAGGGGAGGGAGTGGCCCATGGGGAGAGGGGAGGGGCTGGGAGAAATGGGGGAGGGGCTAGCCCTCCCCCGACCCAGGGCCCAGGCACCCACCTCTTCCACCTTCTGGGGAGAGAGGGGCACAGGGTCAGAGGTGAACCCAGATGGAACCCAAGTCACCTCCCCACACCCGCCAAAGTGCCCCCAAAGCAGCGGCACAAGGACAGGCAGGGGGCAGAGCCTGCCCCCCAACTGTGAGGGGGACAGGGCCCCCAGGCAGGGAGCACAGAGGGTGGGGGATTGAGGGCAGGGGCACCAAGAGGCAGGAGCAAGGCAGCCGGGCTGGAGGCTTAAAAGAGAAGGGAGAACAGTTGCAAAAGTGAAGGGATGCAGGGAGAGGGGCTGGGAGGAGCTGGGGCTGAAGACAGAGGAAGAGGAAGGAGGAGGAGGAGAAGGGGAGGAAGAAGGAGTGAAAGGGGAGGAAATGAGAAAAGAAGAAGTAAAAGAAGGAAAAAGAAGGGAGAGAAGAGGGAGGAGCAGGGCAGAGTGGAGATGGCTCGGAGGCAGGCAAGTGCAAATGGCAGCGCAACCCCCAACACCCCCCACCTCTCACCCCGCCCCAGGAAGCTCGTTCCTGTGCCCAGACCCCGCTGCTGCCCCCCGGCCCTGGGCACCTCTCTGTATCAGCACCCTCCTCGGTGCTCTCGGCGGGCGCTGGGAGCTCCAGGCTTGCTGGGCCCTGTGGGGGTGGGTCCCCCAGCTCCAGTGGGCCATCAACACCTGTTGGGGTGGCAGAGGAGAGCAAGGCTGGCTGGAAGGCCCCTGTGGTGGCGAGACCCACACTCTGGGGGCCTCAGTTTCCCCCGCCATGGAATGCGGGGGGGGGGGCTAAAGCTGTCCCATGCCTGGCAGGCACCAAGTAGCTGCTCTGTCGTTAAGTGGGGGTGATGGACAGATGGAAAGACCACTGAGAACATGGCAGCTGGGACCAGGTGGGTGAAGATGCCACAGAACTAGGGGAGGAGACTGGATGCTCTGCTTGACACCTCCACATCCATCCATTCTCTAGACCCTCAATGGTGACGTGCAGGAAGAGGATATACCCCATTTAGAGAAGAGGAGACAGGCTCAGAGAGGGGAGTGACTTCCAAGATGAAACACAAGTAAGGCACAGAGCCAGGCTTTGAACCCAGGCCTGGTCAAGTAGTTGTCTGAGATCCAAGGGGCTGAGGGCCACAAGGACTGTGAGAAGTGAAGTTAGCCGGGCTGGTGGGCTCATTATCTAAGGGACTCGGAGAGGGTTCTGGGAAATGAAGTCATAGGGGCTCATGGGAAATGTAGTTTAAGGAGGTGAGACACAGGTCACCAGGACAGAGGTCAGAGCCTGGGGGGAAAGCTGAGGAAAGGGTAAACTGAGGGAAGGGGGTGGTTATTAATAACACTGGTGATCAGGAGCAGGGAGGAGCAGATTTGGAGAACCTAGGGGGCAGTTTCGCTGGCCCCAAGTTGATATCTGAGGGGCTGGCAGCACCACTGCCCTGGGCCCAGGTCTTCATAGAATCCTGGTCCAGGAAACTCTCACCTGGTTCCCGGTCGGGGCTGTCCCCAGACAGAGGGTGCAGAGAAACTCCGGGGGTGTCCTGCCCAGGAGCCCCGACATTCCGGTCCCGGGAGGGCACCCCCAGGCCTCCCTTCCGTTCTGTAAGGCCTGGCTTCTCAGCTGGGGAGACAGCGAGAAAGAAAGCGGGAAGTGAGACTCCAGGGACTCTAATTCACAACGGCCTGGGGGATCCAAACACTGTGCTCCAGCCCCATCCCGCTATCCCCCCATCATGCAGGAGACACCCCCCCACCTCCCTCAGACCCAGGAGGGCCCCCTCCCTCCCCTCTCAGGTTCCCAGGATGGAAGCTCTGGCTTCAAGATCATTACCATCAGTCTCGACTTTAAGGTGTCGAAAATCCGGGGCTGAAATGAGAGACGGGACTGTGAGGTGGGGCTGGCGGGGGACGACATGGGGAAGCTGGGGTGCGGCTGAGGCTGGGCACCTCACCCTGTGGCTCTCCCCGGTTCCAGCGTGCGGCATCTAGCAAGCTGCTCAGTCCTTTCTTGGTCTTGGTCGGCTCGTCTGACCGCCGGGTCCCCATCACCTGCGGGAGGTGGGGGAGAGGACAAGGGGCTGGGCATTTCTGAGATGGCAACAAAGTGAAATCGGACCCCAGGGGTGCAGAGTCACCAGGCTCCCCAGGGGGTCTCTGGGGAAGAAAGGGCCAGGTTTGGACACTCAGGGAAGCACCTTTTTTCGGAAGAAATTCCTCCCTGACTTCTTGTCCCCGCTCTTGGTCCGCACTCCAAGGTGGCGCATGTACAGGCCGATGGCGTTGACCACAGCGGCACTGTGGGGAGGGGATGGTGAGGGCCCCAACACGCACAGACGCGTACACTCCCATGGATGCACACACTGCTGCCCTCACAGCTTTCCCCTCCGTGCTCGCTTCCCACCCCAACCCCAGAACCACTTCCTGCTGAGTGTCTGAGGAAAGGAGAGAGGGTTCCAGAGGACTGGGCCGGGGATGTTGCTCAAAGCTCAGGCCCCCAAGCCCCTAGGCCCCCAGCCCCTCCTCCCTTGGGCCCAGGAGACTAAACCCCTCTCCCCCTGGCCTCTCTGTTTCCATCACCTCTTTTCTTCATCGGTAGAGATGGTGTGTCTGTAAAGAGAAGGAAGAAGCTTGTGACAAATTTGCTAAGCCTGGGGTCCCTGTCCACCCAGCACAAATATCCATGTTGCTGTTCCCTTCAAAGCTGGGACAGGGAGAGAGAAGAGGCAGAGAGGGGGTAGTGGAAGCAATGGGGAATGAGGATCACAGGAGGGAGCAGACCCTCTCAGCAGGGCAGACGGGGCCCAAGCGCCAGGCTTGAACACAAGACCATGGACAAGACCAGGAAACTACAAGGAAACCCCAAAGATAGAAAGGGAAGATGCAAACCAGATGAACTAAAGTGCCAGGGGGACCCGGAAGTCAGAGGACAAGCCCAAATGCTAGGAAATGAACCCTGAAGCTGCCGAGGGAGCCCAGAAATGGAATGGGGCAGCAGAGGGCACCCCGGCAGCTGGCCCCACTCACTGCATCTCCTCCAGGTGGGTCAGCAGCTGCTCGGCCACATGCCGCTCCCGGGCCTCAAAGCTGGCGCGGTCCCGCCCAACCCAGGCCTCCAGCTGGGCCAGCTCCTGCACCCAGGGCGTCATGCCCATGAGCCGCTTAGAACGGAAGTCCTCCAGCTGCCGGCTGACGGTTGCCTGCTGGCTCTGCACCACCTCCTGCACGAATTGCCGCTGGATGTCCTCAGAGAGGAATTCGGGCCGTGTGCGGTCTGCAGGGACATGGTGGGAGGCTACGGGCCAGTTCCCTGGGGCCCGGCTCCCCACCCACCCTTGGCCTCCAACAGGAAGGAAACTCTGCTGTCCAGGACAGCTTGGGGGTTTGGCCTTCCTCCCTGGGGCTCCTGGGAGGGCTGACCCCAGCTAGGGACCTCTCCCTCATCCTATTGTCCCCTCCTCCTCTCCTTACCAAGTTCAAAGGCGACAGAAGCAGGGACTGGCACCCGCAGAACCTGCTCAGGGGAGAGAATGGAGTAAAAGAGAGGACTCAGGAGTGGTGGGATCAAGCCTGGTGGGAATGATGGTCTGAGGGGAGGGCGTGGTCTAGGGACACCAGGCTGGCCCAGCACAGGGTCTCCCCAAGCCAGCTGCCCTCCACACTGCCCTCCATGCTGCCCTCAGCGGGGCGGAAGCGGGGAGGAGCAGGGTGGCTCTCCAGGGCCAAGGGGAGGGGCGACTGGGGCCCCTCGAAGGTGTCTCTCACCGCGACCTTGTCCAGGAAGCTGTGGTAGAAGTCGAGGAAGGCCTTCTTGACCTCCTTTGGGCCCAGTGAGCCCAGCATGTCCGCGTGCAGGCAGCAGAGCTGGGGAGACAGAGTGGGACCTGTCCTCCCTCCCCTCCCACTCAAACCACACTCCTCCTTGGAAAGCCTCAGGGCTCAAATGCCACCTCCCCTGGGAAGTGCTCCCTGATCTCCATCATCCCCTTCCTGGGGCCACCATGACCATTTGCTAATTTTCTATCCCGTGAAATGGTTCTCTGTGGTTCTGTCTCCTCCCACTACCACCACCACCACCAGCTACGCTAAGAGGGCTAGGAGTATACTAGATGCTGTTCTAAACCCCCTACATGCATTAACCTGTTCATTCATAGAGACTACCGTTATCCAATTTTACAGATGAGAAAACTGAGTTCAAGAAACTTGCTCAAGGTCACACAGCTAGTAAGTGACCAAGTTAGGATGGGAACCCAGGGAGCCTATCTCCACTATACTCCATTGCTTAGAAATACTGTGCATAGCCTGAGAGTTAATATGTGTGTACGAGGTTCTGATGCATCTAAGTCCCAGACAGGGTCCAGGACACAGTGGGTTCTGGGGAAGTATACAAGTGGATAAGTGGGGCTCACTCCTTCACTCATCAAGCGTTGCCTGCGTGTCAGCCTTATGCTGGGTGACACTGGCAATGCAGTGGGGACTCCAACCTGTCCTGGCTCCTGGGTGGCTCTCGTCAGGTAAGGTCTCAGCGTGCTAAGGGCTCACATCAGTGAGGGTGGGACTCTTTCTCTACTGTAAACACTTTCAACAAATCTATGTCTGCCCTATCCTATAAAGGAAAACTCCACAAGAGCAATAGGAAGCAGCCCAGGGGACCACAACTATCTCTAGGCTACTCCCCAGGCCGATGAGGTGAGGGAGCGGCATGAGGACAAGTGTCAAAATACCAGAGGTCATCTGAGTCACTCCAGCCCAGCCCCTGGCCCTCAGTTTCCACATCTGTAAAAAGACACGACAGTCAGCACCATGGCTGAGTTCCAGGAGCCCGAGTTCTAGAAACTCCCAGGATCAGGAGGGGGACCCTCTTGCCCAGACGGCCAGAGCCTCCATGCACCATGGGAGGGGCAGCCACTTTACTGGAGAGAAGGCAATTTCCTATTTTCTTGCCAGTTTCTCTGAAGCTTTGGTGTCAGTCAATGTGCTCTTCTTTCTGTGCCTCCAGGCGTCCCTCCCTGGCATTTTCATCAGTCTCCTTGTTTTCTGGAGGGCTCTGCTATGCATTTCCAGTACAATGCCATGTACTGGGCTAACCCCCATTCGCGGCCTGTGTTGGGCTGCCCTGGGTCTTCTTGGGATAGGACCCTTGTCCACAGAGTCCCCCTCCAGCCAGCGCTGTGACTTCGTCCTTCCTAAAACACCTGCTGGATTCTCTAGACTCTGCAGGTGTGTCCAGCGGCACGGCTCTGCATCTGCACCTCCCAGGAGTTTTCTGCCTGATACAAGAGGTTTCTGGATCATCGATTACATTTTCTCTGCCTTGTGAGCTGCTTGCGGTGGTTCCTTGTTTCTGGACCAGGGCCTCCTGTGCCACCTAGACCCGGGAAGGCTAACGGCTTTCTCCCAAGCACCAGCCCTAAATGAATGACTAGGGGCACCTGATGAGAATGCATGGAAAAGGATTTGATTTCCAGTCCGTGGGAAAGGGTACTGTCACTGATGGGTGATGCTGCCACAGGCAGGGAAAAGGGGCGGGGGGTGTGGTTTCTGCCAGGCTGCTGGATTCCCTGTTGCTCTCTGCATGGCCCTGCTGTGTGTACTCTCCCGGCCTGTACTCACTGCTCACTGAGATTTATATGGGGCACCTGCAATCTTGTCTAGGCCACATGGCAGGCTTTCTGGCTATTTCCAGATCTCATGCTGTGCATTCTGGATCTGTTTTCCAGACGCTCTCGGCTCACCTTCAGTGGTCTCACTCATTGAACGCTGTGGCCTGTCCTAGCCCCAACCCTCCCTGTGCCTACCCAGCCCCGCCCTCACCAGGGGTCCCGGCTCGAACTGCAGGGCCACGTGCTGCAGGAGGGCCATGAGGTGGGCTGGGCGCCGCTTCACCTGCTCCAGGCTCTGGAACTGGCTGTTTTGCTCCTCTGCATTCTGGGGGTGAGGATGGGGGTGGGGGATGAGGTGAGACAGTGGGGAGCACAGGAAGGGCTTTGGGCTTGACCCTCCCCCTCCGTGGCACTTCCCAAAGGATCCAAGCTGGGAGGAGGGGGGTGATGATGTCTATGCTGTAATGGTGGCAGTCATGACAGGTACTGGGGACAGTGGATGAGATTTAATGTTATAAAGGTAGGTGATGAGGACAGACATTAGTAGAGATGAAATGGGGATCTGTGGTGTAATCTGTGCTGTAATTGGGGGGGCAGCGATAAAAATTGGGGTTCGGGGCCGGCCCTGTGGCTTGGTGGTTAAGTGCGCGCGCTGCGATGCTGGCGGCCCGGGTTCGGATCCCGGGTGCGCATCGAGGCACCACTTCTCTGTCCATCCTGGGGCCGAGTCCCACATGCAACAACTGGAAGGGTGTGCGGCTGTGACATACAACTATCTACTGGGGCTTTGGGGGCAAAAAATAAATAAAATCTTTAAAAAAAAAAAAAAATTGGGGTTCGAGTAAAAAGGCTGGGAGTCTGCTGTAATGGGGGGCAGCAAGAATGGGGTGAGGGGATGAGGAAGGAGGTACTGGGAAGGTAAGAGAGAGATAGGCAGGGAGAGGAGGCAGGGGGACAGCAGCTGAAGATGGAGAACTGGACCTAAGGCAGGAGGGGACACTGAGGAGGGGACTTAAGGGCTGGGCCCAGGGGCCTGAGACAGAAGGTATTCCACCCTCCTTCCGCCTCACCGTCTCCAGCTCATTCTCAAAATCCTCGTCCTCAGCCCCGATGATGCTGACGGGCACCAGGCCAGGCCGGGGGTGCCCTGGGGCCTGTGGGAGGGGAGGGGTGGCTTCAGCCAACAGAGCTCCCCACCTCATAGTCCCCCAGTCCCCTCACCCCTCAGCCTCTCCACTCACCGCCCCTCGGGCGACGTCTTCGGCCTCCATGGGCTGTGCAGGGCTGGGGGAAGAGGAGGGGCTGCGGTTAGCAGGGTGGGAGGAGGCAGCAGAGGGCGGTTACTCACAGATTCCTGGCCCAGGTGTGAAGGTGAGTAAACAGCCTCCCCCCACCCTGGCCTCCGCAGCTCAATGGGGCCTCTGTGTGGTGACAAAGAGCTCTTCAGAGCCCTTCAGAGGGGGCGGGAACCCAAGGACAGGGAGCCTTGTTGGGGGTGAGCTGGAGGCCCAGGAGCCTGGGTCCATGAGAGCTGTGGCCATGAGAGCCTGCAATTTGGGGTCCCTAAGCAGGAGGGGGCTGGGGGCTCAGACTTTTGGATCTGAGGGAAGAGGGGCCTGGGGGCCTGGACTCCTGGGTCTGAGGGAGGAGGGGCTGGGGGCCCGGACTCTTAGGGTCTGAGGGAAGAGGGGGCTGGGGGCCCGGACTCCTGGGTCTGAGGGAGGAGGGGCTGGGGGCCCGGACTCCTGGGTCTGAGGGAGGAGGAGTTGGGGGCCCGGACTCCTGGGTCTGAGGGAAGAGGGGGCTGCAGGCCCGGACTCCCGGGTCTGAGGGAGGAGGGGGCTGGGGGCCCCGACTCCTGGGTCTGAGGGAGGAGGGGGCTGGGGGCTGGGTCCTGGGGAGACAGGGCATGGAGGAAAGCAGAGTTGGGAAGGTTAAAGGAGAGGTAGGAGGGAGATAAGTGGGGTGTAGGGGGATCTCCTCTGATCTCTGATAGGCTTGGGGCAGGATGTTGCCTCTGAACCCACCAGCCCCACTTCCTGTGACAGGAAATCACAATGGCAAATCCCCCAACCCCCAACTCTCTCCACATAAGAAAACAAAACTCTGAACCCTCCTCCCTCAGAGACCAAGAATCCCGGAACCCCGAAATTCTTTCCCTCAGGGACGTGGTATCTTTCCTGGCTTCCAGTCCCAGACAACAAGGGACTGTCCGCACCCTACATCTTGTCAGCTCTCCTTTCCTCAGACAGCTCTCCCTGGCTGTCTCTTCGTTGAATCTGCTTCATGTCTTTGCCTCTCGTCTCCCTGTTTCCTCATTTTTCTCTCTCCCTTCCTTCAGACTCGTCTCATTTTCCCCACCATCTCTGCTTCCCCTCCCTCCTCCTCCCCCCTCAGCTGCTACACCCCATCTCTGCTTCAGTTGCTCTGTCTTTCCCCCATCTCTCTTCTGTCTTTGCCTCTGTTTTCCCACATCTGGTTTCTGCAGCCACCTTCCCGCACCTCTCCGAGTCGCTGTCTCATGTGCTGTCTCTCATCTCTCTCTCTCTCTCCTCTCTTGCTGTTTCTCCCATCTTGTCTCCCTTAGAGTCTCCACTTCTCCCTGTTGTCTTCCCACCAACATCTTCTGTGTCCTTAATCAGTCTGACTAATGCCACGCGAGCCCATGTAGGCAGGAAGGAGCTGTGGAAACAGGGGTGGGGTGGACTAGTGGGGGAGCTCTCCCCACAGCCCAAAGCTATTTATAACCCTAGTCGCCTGAGACCCACCCTTCCCTCTTCCACAGGCCTCCCTCTTCCACAGGCCTCCTCCCTAGCACTCAATAAATGGTAGCTGCGATTTTGATTATGATCATTAAACAATGATGTTCTGCAGTGTCCAAATGCCATCCTATGGGTTCACCCGAGCAGGCATCATTTTTATTCTTTTCCATAAAGTGTATTTGTCCAACATCCAAACTTGGGTAACTTAAGATTTGAGCATTGTTAAATGTTCACATAAATAAATTTGCAAACCAATGCAGAAAAATAACAGTAATTATTTATTATGAGAGCCGGACTTACATAGCACATGCAGGGTGCTGAGGATGGCTCTAAGTGCTTCTCACATAGTAACGCACTTAACCTCACAACCACAAGCACCCTATGCTATTATTATTCCCATCAGAGATGGAAACCTTCACCAGGCCACCAGCTGCAACTTCTGGGCTGGAAAACATGACCACGGACATGGAGGGTCCATGCTTGTCCTGCTCAAGGGTGGAAAGGTTCCACAGAGGTGGGGAGATTCCAAAAGGGCAAAGGAACACACGTTATCCAAGCGAATTTTCAATGCCAGACAGGCCCTGAATAATGCACTTGACACTATTATCTCCTTTATTCCTCAACACAATAATATGAAATACTAGCTAACACTTAATATGCCCTAGGTGCCACTTAAACGTATGTGCCAGGCACAGCATTACTGCTTTATAGGTATTAACTTGCTCAATCCTCTCAGTGACCCTGTGAAGTCAGTATTATTATTATTATCCCCATTTTACAGAGGAGGAAACTGAGGCACAGATTATAAGGGACAGAGCCAGGATTCAGACCCAGGCAGTATGGCCCCAGAGTTTATACATTTACCTACTGGAAAGTGCTGCTTCAGAGCATGGGGAACCCCCACCCCAATGTTAGGAAACTAAAATCTGAATCAAAGCTGAGCCATATCTGGTCTCCTTATGAGGTCTGGGAAGTCAGGGATATGTGGGCACTTTGGTCTGGGCAGGACGGAAGCTTAGACTCGGCTGCTCCACAGAGGCCTGCGGCTCAGAGAGGATTTGGAGGGGGAAGGGCGGCTGCTTAGGAGATAGATTCCCCACAAAGGCTGGGGAATTATAGGTTGAAGCTGTCAGATGGATCTATAGGCAACAAGGCCTGTGGTCCAGCAGAGGGGGTGCTGTGTGCATGGGGCTGTGGGGGGTCGGGGCAGGTTTAGAAGGTCGTTAGAGGTGGGGACTCCTAGAGCAAAGCAGGCACATGGGTGGCTGGGTTCCATGCAGGGCTCAGGGTCTATAAGATACTGGGAGGATGGCTCTGGTTTCCAAGAACCTCTGGAAGCCTTAACCTAAAATATAGAGTAGTCAAAGTGCGTCTGTCAGGGGCCCTTGGAATGTATAAAGCCCCAAATTCTGGTTGACACATGGTAGGTCTCCAAGGATCCGGGGATCAAACAGAACCAGGATTCCATAGGGAAAGTAGCCAGTCTATAGGACCTCTGGAGACTTAAAATGGGACCAGAATTCTATAGAAGCGTGTGGTGGTCCCCGAGACCCAGGATCTACAGGGTCTCGGATTCTAGGGATGCTACTGATCTATGGGGATCCTACGTCTGTAAGGAGCCGGGTCTCCATGGGGGGCTAGTAGGAACCTGGAGGGTCCGTAAGACCTTGTAATCTACATGGAACGTGGCGGGTCTACACGAGCCCCAAATCATACATGGGACATGGCGGGTCTACACGGGCCCCAAATCCTACAGGGGACGTGACAGTGTGCATGGCTAGGGATGCTGGGGCAGACGTGCGGAGTCAGGGTCTGACGCCCGCCGGGGGCCGCGTCCCTCACCTGCTTCAGGTCGGAGGAGAAGCCACCGCAGCCGCCAGAACCGAAGCCTCCGCGCGCCGGCTCCGGCCTCCCCCACCCCTGCCTGCGAGTCACTCTAGCCGCCCCAGAGTCCACCTTTGCTTCCAGCTCCACTCCTCCCGCCAGCCGCTCTAGCCCGGCCCCTGCCAGGCTCCTGCCCAGGCGACTCTACTCCTCCTGCCGGCCGCTCTAGCTCTCCACCGCGCCACGCTGGCCCGGTAGGGCCGCTCTGGCCTGTCTTGGAGGGCTGGCGTTTCCGTATCTCGACTGCCCCCGAGATTCTCCTGGGCCCCGCCCCCTGCCCCCTGTCCCCCGTCTGGACGTGGGGATGCTTCCATCCCCTCCGCCAGGGCTCAATCCGAGATCTCCGAATCGCCCCGGCCCTTAGCCCCCGGACTGAGGTTCCCGCCCTATCTGACCTCCCTAACTCGAGGACCAGGTGAATTCCTAACTGTCGTACATTAATTCTCGCCGCACTCCGCACCCCCACCCCCGCACACTTTCCACTGCGGCCGGAAAGCAAAAGTCCTGGGTTCGAGCGTACCTTTCCCTCTGATATGCAGTGTAACCTGGGAAAAGTAATTACTTCTCCCCCGGCCTCAGTCTTCCCATCTGTACAATGGAGGAAGATCTCCAGCTCTGTCTCCTACAACCCATCTCCCAGGGTCTAATTAATGGTGTAGAAAAAGAGCTCTCCAAGAACGCGTTCAAACGCGTTCTGCAATTTGCAGCTTCACCGCGCCCTACGGCGTTGTTATGGTCGTTTTTATTTTTAGGTGGCCCTAAAGCATGCGGGATTGGAGGGCGGCGCTTAGCGGAAAGTACCTGCGAGTTCAAATCCCAGCTCCACTCGGTCTCACGATGTGTGTGCCCTGTGTGAGTCGGTTCTGCTCCCTGGGCCTCAGTTTCCCCACCCGTATAATAGGGGTGATCATCCGTCCTCTGTTGGACAGTGGGAGGCCTTGACCCCGGCCTCTCACCCCTCATCCCCACTGGGCACTCGGCAAGCATTACTTCTCCGGTCTTTGCCCCCTTTGACAGATGGGAAAACTGAGGCACAGGGAGGGGCGGTCGCGGCTCAGCGGGGCCGCCAGGAGGCCCCTCCGCGGCCGGCAGCGCCCCAGCCCCTCCCTCCTCCCCCCGCTTCCCCTGGCCGCCGAGGGGAGGGAGGCCGGGCGGGGCCGGGGCGGGTGTACCTGGTGTCCGCGCGGGGAGGTGACCGGCGGGGCGCCCGAGGTCGGGCTCGGCGATCCCGGGCCCTGGGTCCCGGCTCCCGCTTCCTGGCTCTGGCGGGGCAGGAAGTTGGGGCGTTTTTCCGGAGGCCCCCGCCCCGCCGCCCCTCCCCGCTTCCTGCCCGCGCCCCGCGCCCGCCCGGCACCTCCGCTTCCTTCCCCTTCTTGCCGGCCGCCCGCCCCTCTGTCCCAGCTCCGCCCGGGACCCGCGGGCACCGGCGCCGCCCCGCCCCGCCCCGCCCCGCCCCGCCCCGCCAGACCTCTCCCGGCCTGTCTGTCTGTCGGTCCGCGGGGCGCGGCTCCGCGTTTCTCACATCTGCCCGGCGTCCGCCATCGCCTCCCTGGCGGGCCTGGGGGCGAGGCTCGCCCTGCGTCCGCCTCAGTCTGCGCAGCAGCCTCCCCTGCTCTCCGTCTGTGTCTCTTGGTCTTCCTTTCTCTTTGCCTCCCTGTGTGTGTTTCTGCCCGTGTCCGTCTCTCTGGCCCTGGCCCTGTCTCTCTTTCTCGCTCCCCCTTTCTCCGTTGGGGTCTTTCCCTCCCGCTCCCCCGTGTCGCTCCTCCTCTCTGTCACTTTCTCCCTCAGAACCCTTCTCTTCCCATCTCTGGGTCTCTGGGTCTTTCTGCATCTTGCTCACTCTCAGTCATTACCCCAACTGCTGCTTTCCCTAGATTCTCAGGGGTCAGCCTCTCCACATCCATTTTTCTATGGACCCTCCTTTCCTTTCTATCGCTTCCTGCTGTCTCTCGGCATCACTGTCTCTCTCCGATTCCCTGTCCCCTCATTGTCTTTCTCTACTCTTGCTCTGTCTCTCTGTCACTATATCTCTGTCTCAGTCTCTCTCCATTCTGTATCTCAGAAACTCCACATCTCTGTCATTGCCCCTGGGTCTCCCCACCGTCCCCAATTAGGGCCACAGACTTTCCAAATCGCTCTGCTAGGAGTCCACTCCCAGAGAACAGGTGTGGCCTGGCTGGAGTCAGAATTCCATACTAGCCCCACCAGACAATCCCCTGTGTTTGTACTTGTGTTTCTGGGACTTAAATACCAGTGAATAAATATGGTCGTCTTACTCCCTCCTGTCGCGCCACCCCCTGCCCCCTGCTCAGGGACGTGGCCTGGGGTGGGGCCTTCCCCAAGACACTCCTGTTTCTCTCAGGAGGCAGCCAAGACTGGCTACCTGGTCCCAGGTGTGGGGAGTGGGCAGGGGCTGGGGACCCAGAATCCTGCGTCTGAGGGAGGAAGGGACTGGGGGCCTGGACTCCTGGGTCCCAGAGGAGGAGGGGGCCGATCCCAGTGAGATCCGTGACTCCTGCCAAGGTCTGCAGTTGGGAAGGATTTATTATCACTAAGTGGCCATGACAGAGCAGGGAGGGGGAGGTGACACTAACGAGGCTGCTACAATCAGCTCCCCCAGAGGCAGCAATTAAGGGCTCATTACCTGCTGGGGGTTGAGGGGGAGGCTGGGAAAGGCAGCAGGGGGAGGATTGAGTTAGGGTGTGAGCTGGAGATGAGGACAGTCTAGAGGGAAGAAGAGTGGACACTCCTAAGCGGAAAGTTGAGTCAGGACACTCCCAGGAAAGATTGTGAAAAGAGAGCGGGTTCCAGGGATGTGGGATCAGACATGAGTTGGAAGCACCGCAGACAGGGGCAGCCCAGCTGGGTCATGGCTTCTCCAGCTGGACGTCTCCGATGTGGAGGCTGCCCACGTCCTGGTAGGTGCCCTGGAGGCCCCTGGAGATGTCCTCGTACATGGAACAGTCATCAAGGTTCAGGCCCTGGGGTGGAAACGTGGTGATGGGCCTCAGTGTCCTGATGCCCAGGTCCCTGCCCCAGCCAACACTGGGGAGGAACCCCATGTGACCACCCCCCAATGCACCTGACCCTAACCTGTCCCTACCCTCCACTCACCTCATAAAGATTTTCATCTTCATAGTCATCCTGCATGTCCGGCCCAAACTTCAAGTTCTGCCATCGTTTCTGTTGGGGGATTGGGAGCCTCAGTGAGGGGGGGATGGAATATGTTTGCAGACCTCTTGGATGCCAGGAGGTGCTTTACCAGAGAGGGTAAGGGACATGCCCAAAGCCACATATCCAGTGAGTGGCAGGTCTCTCTGGGGCCAAGCCAGTGTCCTTTCTGCTGTCTTCACTGCCTTACATGAATAACAACAACAATAATAGTAAACAGCAGTAGTTGCCCTGTGGCCTAAAGAGAGGCTGGTTCAGGTCAGAGACTCTGGGAGGACACCCAGCCACCATCTTCCCTGGCCTGGGCTACATCTGGAGGGCTACAGCACTCTTGGGGGTGGGGAGAGTGAGGCACCTGGCGGGGAAGAGTGAGGCACCTGGGAGGGGGGGAGAGTGAGGCATTTGCGGTGGGAAGAGTGAGGCACCTGGTGGGGGAGAGTGAGGCACCTGGAGGGGGAGAGTGAGGCACTCTGGGGGAGGAGAGTGAGGCACCTGTGGGGGGAGAGTGAGGCACCTAGGTGGGGAGAGTGAGGCACCTGGGGGGGGAGAGTGAGGCACCGGGGCGGGGGAGAGTGAGGCACTCTGGGTGGGGGGGAGAGTGCGTACAACCATGAGGGAAGACTGAGCAAGGACGTTCCTCTGGGCCCAGGACCATGTAAACTCCTGTCGTTGTATTAATTCATTTAGTCCTCACAGCCCCTGTGAGGTGAGTGCTGTCATTCTCTCGAGTTTTAAGTGGGGACCCTCAGACTCAGAGAGCTCTGGTCCCCAGTGGCTCACCCTGAACAGCAGCAGCGTCCCAGGCACCACAGCGCAGAACAGCAGGATGATCCCCTCGGCTGTGATGATGTTGTTCTTGGTGCCCTCCGCCATGTCCAGGAAGGGTCTGGGGAGCGGCTCTGTGAGGGGGGTGCTGCTCAGAGCCCTGGCACCTCCGGCCCTCCCTGGCCTCCTGGCCCTCCCCACCCACCGCCCAACCAGGCCCAGGACCACTGAAGCCCCCACTGGGCAGATGTGAAAATCGGTCAGTGTGTGCGAGCCGGAGGTGAGGATGCCCACTACGGCACTGGCCCCATCCCCACGTCACAGATGAGGATGCTGAGCATCCCCAACTGCAGAGGGACCTCGGGGCCAGGGCCCAGGCACTCACCACGCACGCGGAGGTAGGTGCCGCAGGAGTGCTTCACCATCTTGTTTTCCTCCACCTGGCACCTGTACATGCCCCCGTGGCTCTTGTTCACCTGTGGGATGATCAGCTCGCCATTGGTGACCTTGCTGTGCTCCAGGAACACTGAGGGCCACGTGTGGTTCTTCTTTTCGAGGATGAGGATGCGCCACCAGGTGATGTTGACGGAGCTGCCTGGGCTGCTGCCGTTGTACGGGCACGGGAGGCGGGCGTCCTCCCCCACGCTCACTGTCACTGATGGCGGGCCCCAGTGCACCCACAGGGCCTGGCACCCAGGGCCTGCAGAGAGGAGGATGGGTCAGGGGCTGCAGGTAGGGACCAGGCCCAGCCCTGGCCTCTGCAGCTGCGGCACCCCTGGGTGTGTGTGTGGGGTGCATATGAGGACACTCCTGGGAGAGGAGAGAGAAGTGCGGGGGAGAGAGGGTGGTGTTAGGAGCAAGGAGTGAAGGTGCCTCTGTGGGGAGAATTAGGATAACGTACACTTGATGGGGGTGAGGAGGAACCTAGAGGAGGAGAGTGAGACACCCTGGGAGGAGAGAGGATGCAACTTGGGGGGGGGGGTGAGGACATCCTGGGGAGGAGAGTGAGACACCGGGGGGTGGTGACACACCCCTGAGGGTCCCCACTCGCCTCTCCAGTGCTACCACTTGCCACTCGCCCCACACCTGCTCTGTGCTTTGGCCCCACTGAACTCGCTGGTGTCTGGATATTTGGTTCCCTCGTGCTAGAAGTACCCTGCCTAGGCAGCTCCTTTTGGAATCATGGGCATCACCTCCTCCTGAAGGCCCTCCTGGTCTACCCAGCCTGGCCCTGCACCTGGCACTTGATCTTGTGTAATCTTCACAAAACCCTTAAAGTAGGTTCTCTCACTATCCCCATTTTATAGGTGGGATGGCTGAGGCCCAGGGAGTTGGCTGCCCGGCATCACCAGGGCAGCAGGAGTGGCTGGGGGTTCAAACCCTGGGCCCCCTGGGCCTCTTCCTGCCAATCTTCGGCCTGCTGTGCCCTGTGATCCCAGGCCTGTCCCTTATTCTCTGTGACTTGCGTGTGTTGACCTGGGGGTCAGAGGTGAGTGCATTCAGTGGGCTGGGCAAGGGGTTAGGGGAGGGCTTCAGCAGGGTGGTTGGCGAGAGGCAGCCAGGGGTGGCCCAGGGTGGCTGCTCAGGGAAACCCCAGCCTCAGCCCTCCCTGGCCTGTCCACATGGCTGGCTCTGCCTTTTCTGGAGGGAGGAGGAGGAGGAGGAGAAGTGAGGTGAAGAAGAGAGGAGGAGGAAGAGGTGGGGAAAGAGGCAGTAACCTCAGGGTCGCGGGCTCCAATCTCAGCTCCTAGTGTGACCTTGAGTGACCGCCCCCCTCTCTGAACTTGTCAGCCAAACAGGGTGGTCACAGCCCCACCAGCTGGTACTGCAAAGGGAGAGGGGAGGGGGGCGGTGTCGATGAGGCGCCCCCTCCCCAGCACTGAGAAGGGGCTCCCTACACAGCAGGGACTGAAATTTAAGGCAGAAAAGGAGATAGCTTCTTCTGCCCTCTGAAGCTGAGTGCTACCGCCAGGTCCCCTTCCTGCCCCCAGCTCTGGAGCTCAGTCAAGGGTGACCTTAGTTCCTTATTTTGACCTGTGCGGATGAGGGGGTGGGGAAGGCGTCTCTCTTTTGCCCCTGCCTTCCTCCATGGGGCTGTGGACGTCCCTCCAACGTCGCTGAGGCCCCTCCAGCCTCTCCTCAGCCAGCTTGGGACAGTCAAGCAGACAGATGCGGCTTCTACAGGGCCTTTCCTGGCTACCCTTCCTGCTGCCCCCCCCCCCCAGCGCCCTTCCCTCTGCCTGTGCCCTCTCCAGGCTCCCTAGTCTCCCCACCACCTCCCCCCAGCACCCGCCTGTTAGCCACATACCTGGGCCAGCAGCGGAGAACAAGAAGAGGAGGAAGATGGTGGCATGCGGGGCTTGGAGGACTCCGGGACCCCCAGGCATCTTCTCCAGTGGGTTGGTCCGTCTGGGTCGCAGCACTCCTGGGGTACCAGATCCCACCTCGGCGGGCCCCAAACCCCGCCCCACTTCCTGCCCAGCCCTGCCGGAGATGGGCTCCACTGGCCCCAATGCTGGGCCCTTCGGCTGCTGGGCAGACCCTGGCAGTACGCCACTTCAAGTACGCCGCTTCAGGCCGTGAGTGGAGAGGAACCGCTCCCTGCACCTGCGGTGGCCACAATTCCCCTGAGGGGAGGCTCCTTGGGTGGGAGGAAGAGGCCGGTTCAAGGCCTGGTTTGGCTCAGGCTCATTACTGGCAGAGCCCTGGAAAGGAAGCCTGAGGGAGCCAGAGTTCGAGGTGCCTACCGCACACAGGTGGTCGGGGTGCTGGGTCCCAGCTTGGTTTCTGCCCCTCACTGGCCTTGGGCAAACCTTGTCCTGTCTCTGAGCCTCCATGTCCTCACTTCTTGGGGTTGGAAACGAGAATTTAAAGGAGCTGTGAGTGCACAGCACTGAACACAGGGCCCGGCACACAGTAGGTGCTCCGGAAACATTGGTTACTACTGATGTCCCCAAGGAATAAATGAGGCAGGCCAGCTAGCTCTATGACGAGGTGGTGGCTTCCGTTTCTGAGCCTTGGCATTTTTAATCCAAGAGATGAGGCTGAGAAGATCTCCCTGGTGTTGTGACATGAGATGATGTTTCTGGCCCCCAAGGAGTTAAAGACATGAGGGGCTCTTTCTTGGTGTTCTTTCACTTCCACCGCCCCACATGGAGGCAAGGTAGGCCACCCCCCATCTTACAGAGGAGGAAACTGAGGCCCAGAGGGGGGATGCCACCACTGTCACTTGCCCGGTTGTTAGGTGGAGCAGAGATTCAAAGTCACTTATGTGTGCCCACGTTCCTTTGAGTATCATTTCAGGTCAAGTGGGAGGGAAATGGGGTCCGTGGGGTGCGGGTGGGGAATGACATGAGGTTGTTGAGATGTTTGTGAGCAGTTAGGGGACCACCACACACAGTGGGGAGACATGTAGGAAAAAAATTTATCACAGGGAGAGTTTTGGTAGCAAAAGCTGGGAAACGAACGAAAAGCCCACTTACAGGAGATTGGATGCATAAATTGTGGTACAACCAGCCAGTGGAGCAATATACAGCAGGAGAACAGGCGGAGGAGCTTCACGTGTCAACAAGGCTGGATCTCAGGAATAACACGAAAATGAGAAAAAAAATATTTTAGTGTGATACAGTTGACTTGTTTTCAAAAAGCGAAACAACACCGTGTGCCGTTAGGGACACATGTGATTGTAGTAAAGGTGTAACCCCAGGCAGGGGAGTGACGCCCAATTCCTGAGAGGGGTTACCTCTAGGGGAAGACAGGGGGTATGACGGGGATGGTACCCAGAAGGCTTTGTCCTTCTTAGTTTTACGTCTTGTTTTACTTCTTAAGCTGGGTGGTGGGTTCATGGGTCTTTGTTACACTACTATGTATTCTGTTTTGCATGCTTCAAGTATTTCCTAATTTTTAAAAATGCAACTGTCACCCACACAGAAGAGCGTAGGCCTCGAGAATTCAAGATTCCTGGGTTTGAATCTCAGCTCTGCCAACTGACTAGTCGTCTGAGCCTCAGTTTCTCCTCCTGTAATCTTGGCACAATCCCCCCGCCTTATGAGGCTGTAAAAGTATTACACAGTGTGCTTTGCACAGTTCCTAGGACACAGTTCCCCTTCTCTAGCCCCAGGGCCCTCCTCCCTTCCCTCCAGGGACGCAGGTGTTCTGTTGGGCCCTTCGCTATATAGCAGGTCATTAGCCCCTCTGTGCTTCAGTTCCTCCTTAGGACCCCCATCTAGGAAAAGCCTGGTTCCAGAGGCTGCAGCCCTAGGAATTCACCTCTTTTAGCATTCTTCAGTGGCTGAGCCGGTTTCCAGGCCCTCGACTGCCCCCCAGCGGCTGGAGAGGCGCTGCCAGCAGAATGCAGACCCTCTCAGGCGGGGCTGGCCAGTCTGGGCACCTCCACCTCCCTCTTACCCAGAACCGCTGATGTCTGGCTCTGTGCGTGGGAACCAGATGCTTGGTAGTGTTTTCTCATGACAACTCTGGGAAATGTGTTCATCCTCAATCGGCAAAAGAGGAAACTGGAGCCCAGAATGGGGAGTGACTGGCCGAAGGCTATGCCCAGAAGTGTAACCCTTTGGGCCTCGTTTTCCTGTTTTCTCACTTCTGAGGGACAGAGCACCGTAGTGGCTAGAGCCTTGGGCTGGAGCCAGGTTGCCTGGGTACAAATGGCTGGCTTTGCCACCCCTTAGCTGTGGCATCAGGGGGGCAAATTACCCAATGCACGGCTTACTTTCCCCATCGCCAAAATGCGGGTGCTTTTTGGCACCTACTTCATAGGGTTGTCAGGTGTATTACATGATGTAGTATTTATAAAGTGCCTTGCATGTGGTAGGCTCTAGGTGTTTATTCAGTACAAATCTTCCAGCACCGACAACTTCCGGCCAGCTGGTGGGATGACGGCTTCATTCCTCACCCAGTGTAGGACTCTTTGGTTTGATATTCTATTTTGAACATCTCGGTCTTAAATTTGGGTAATACCCACTGGTTGTCTGCCAGATGTGCTGCTCTGAGCCAAGGCACTCTCTACATGGTATCTCCCCAAATCCTGAATCCCTCAGGAGTAAGCAGCATAGACAAGGAGCAGAAGGATCACAGGGGAAGTAAGTTGCTCAGGGTCGCACCGCATTAGGGACAGAGTTGGAATTGGAACCCCATTGTTTGGAGCTGAAAGCCCAGGCTTGGCACTGGAAGGAAATGGGTCTGATCTGAGGACTAATTTGAGCCGTGGGAACCTTGGCCAAGCCAACTCAAGCACAGCATCTTAGTTCTCCCGGACTGAGAAATGATTCTGGTCACATGGGGCGGTAAGAGGGCCCTTTCCAAGCTCCTCTCTTTGGGGCTCGGCACGTGCCCACTGGGCACCCTTCGCATCTCCCTCCCCGACTAGGGGTCCAATCACAGGCGGAGCTGCCGCGCCATTCGTGCCCAGAGCCAACCACCGTGCAATACCGTGGAAGTGGCGCCGCGAGCGCCAGGCGAGCTCAGCCTCTGCGCAAGCCCCTCGAGCGCCCCTCCCTCGGGGGTGTAGGCGGCCGCCCGGTGCCAGCCTGCTCCGTGCCGCCTCCAGCACTCCACCCCAACTCTGGGACGGTGCGACTGGCTCCATTTCACATTAGGGCCCAAGGCCACTGAAATCCCTCGAGAAGGCTTAGGCAGGACCACCCTGCCGGTGTAGGCCAGCAAGAGGAGGTACATACTAGATCACCTGGGGCTGGAGGCACTTAAGGGGCCGCCTGGAATCAGGGATGTCTGCCCTTGTGCAGCTCCTTCCAGGGAAGTATCTGAGCCCAGGGGCCCTCCTGCTTTGTTCCAGCAGGGGGCAGTGTCACCTCCGCGGTCAAGGCCCCAGCTGGGGCCACTGCCTAAAACAGCCACTCCTTTCAGTTTCTCATTTTCTGAAAATTGCAAAGGCAGGATGTGGGGGAGGTGCAAGGGCCCCTGGGGCCTGGGCCACCCACCCACCAGCCCAAGCAGGGCATTTTGCCCGCTTGGGGAGGAACTGTTTGAACCGGGAATGCTGGGCCTCAGGCTCTCGCAGCTGCTGGGTGCCACCGCCACCCAGGGACCCCTAGCCCCTCTCTTTCAAAAAGGATGGGAAGTGCAGTGCTCCTTCCTCATGCCCCCAAACAGAAAAAGAGCAGCCAATCAAGAGAGATGAAGACCAGGACTACGAATGAGGCAATTTATTAACCCAGCATCATTTGTTCTAATGCTTCTTGTTGGCAGCTGCCACCTGTGGGAAAAGATGGACGAGTAATTAGATCAGTCACAGGGTCTGTGTTCAGGCACTTTGTAATAGCTACCCATGACCCACCAGGCATCCCGATTCAGTTTCACATGTATTCATCTCATCTAATCCTCACAACCCTAGATGTGCCCCCATTTTACAGAAGCCTACATAAACTGCGACTCAAGGAAAGGGAGTGTTGGAGTGAGATTCCAACCTCTGCTCACTGCCCTTTGTCACCCACACTGATGTTTGTGCCAGGCCCTGCACTGCCCCGGAAGAGCTCACCTTTCTCCTTCCAGATCCACCCCCAACTCCCAGAGAGCTGACATATTCCACATTTTTTCCTGACAGCTAAGTGACTAAACACTCCAAGGCTCCTAGGAGGCCTGAGTGAATGATACAGAAAGAAGAAAACCAACCATGGGTTCATGCCTAACTCTGGGAGCTTTTGCTGCTGTAGCTCACTGAATCCTCACCACCACCCTGTGAGGCAGGCAAGTACAGATCATTCTAGACACAGGGAGACTGGCTCCAGGTGATTCGACTCTGCCCCAAGGTGTCCAGCCAGCCAGTCATCTGGATGGAGACCCAAGTTCTGTGCCAGCCTGCCTCTCCCGTCTCCCCAGCCCCCCATCTCAGGCTGAGTAAGCATGAAGACTAAGGAAACATTGCAGGGCCGGCCCCGTGGCTTGGTGGTTGAGTGCACATGCTCCGCTACTGGTGGCCCGGGTTCAGATCCCGGGCGCGCACCGATGCACCGCTTCTCCGGCCATGCTGAGGCGGCATCCCACATACGGCAACTAGAAGGATGTGCAACTATGACATACAACTATCTACTGGGGCTTTGGGGGAAAAAAGGAGGAGGATTGGCAATAGATATTAGCTCAGAGCCGGTCTTCCTCAGAAAAAAGAGGAGGATTAGCACGGATGTTAGCTCAGGGCTGATCTTCCTCACAAAAAAAAAAAAAAAAAAAAAGAGGAAACATTGCAGCCAGAATCGGTAAGAAGGCTGACCTGGGAAGAGGGAGTTGTGTGCCGGAACACATTCTATACGAGAAGCTAGCTCAGCTGCACCCTGGGCCTGGGTTCCCTTCACCCCGACACATGCATTTCCAACTAGCTCCGGGAGGCAGTCAGTCAGAAATGTTCTTTCTTCTCCACACGCCTCCCCCCCCCACCCCCCGCAGCTCTCTGACCCCCACCAGACTGGCTGTGCCCTCCAGGAAGGAACTCTGATCCGACAAAGCCTGGGCTCTGGACACGCCCCGGCAGTGACTGAGGAACCCAGCTTGCACTCCCGCCTCACCTGTCCAGCGATTCTGTCTAGATCTCTCTGTCCCTGAGGTGTCAGTTTGCGGCCCCTGAGGAGAGAAGGGTCATGCAGCCCCCAGTGAGTGCTGGCTTTCAACCCCATCCCTGCCAGGCCCCTCCTTGATGTGAGCCAGGCTTCCCAAGAAGGCACCTGGTCACAGGACCACATGACGCCAGCCAAGTCCCATTGAGGGCCCCAGTCGGCTGCATTCTAACGAGCTGGGGGCAGGAGTGGGAGCCCCCCTGGGAGCTGACGGGGTGTCGTCTGTGCAAGGATTAGATCAAAAGCCCCGAAAAATCAATTGGGAAAAGTTAACGAGCAGGCTAATGAAAGCAGACAGTCGCTAAATTACCTTCCTGGAGCCCAGGGTAGTCAGCCAGAGAGGTCGGGGTGAGGCCCCTCGCTGTTTGCTTTTTTGCAGAATCCCTTGCCTGCCTGATGGGCAGGTGCAGCCCGTGCAGGACAAACCTGGCACCTCTGCATGGGGGGGTGGGATCGCCCTTGACAACTTCATTGTAGGTTATCTGGCCCCAAGGCTCCTCCATCACCCCCCTCCCTTGCTTACCCATCTTGGTCCTTTTCCACCATTTTCAGCCCCTCCAGGGCTTGGAGGACCCTGCGGGCCACGCTCTTGGAGCCTCTGCTAAAGTGGCTGGGCATGACACCGTTTCTCTGACGTCCCCCATAGATCTTGGTCATGGAGCCGACTCCAGCGCCGCCCCGGAGGTACAGGTGCCGTGCTGTGGAAGCTGGGTGGGGCACAAGGGAGAGACTTGAAGAACCTTCTCAGGCAGAGAAACTCCTCTCCACAGCTGAGGCAGGCTGAGCAAAGGGCCTGGCTCAAAGTCACACACATAGACAATTCTCTGTGTGCCAGCTAATTCTCACCTTTCGATAGCCAGAGGGAATGAGCACACACACCAAGACGCAGTACCTGACCCCCACCTCCAGCTCTTTCACAAACTGCCCTGCACCCTAGGCCCAGCCTAAGAGACGGGACACACAGGCAGTGGAGGGACTGCCACAGCATGTGACTGGGCAGGGAACCCGCCTCCCCAGGACCGACTTTCTTAGCTGCTACTGCCCTAGCCGTGCTGCTGTGAGGCTGGACCTGAGGTTCTGCAGGTAGAGCCTAGCAAGTGTTTAAGCCATGACTGTCCGTCTCCATGTGCCCGGGCCTGAGAGGCAGGAGAGTGGAGAAGGGACCTACTGCCAGCCCCGGAGAGCTCAGGGTAACAGTGGTCCAGGACAGGGGCGATGCCTCACGCGGTGGATGTTCCCAACCCAGAATGTGCATTACCCCCTCTGTGATCACAAGGATTTTTGTCCCTAGACTGGCTCGGGCAAGTCCCTGGTCCATTCCAGCCAGCCTCTTTGGAAATGAGCTCACATTTCTGTTCACCTGGAGCACCCATCTGCCAGGCCCTGTGCCATCTGCTTTCCAGCTTTTCTCCTATGAGGTAATAAGATGGCCTTAGGAGCTGGCCTGACGGTGTGGCCTTGGCAAGTCACCTACATTCATCTGAGAACCAGGAGAAACAGTCCCTCAGATGAGGGTTACTGTGAGGATCCCATGGGTATCTGTCAAGTGCTAGTCTTCTTCACAGAAAAGGAAACAGGCTCCAGGAGCCGGCCCCGTGGCGTAGCGGTTAAGTGCGTGCGCTCTGCTGCTGGCGGCCCGGGTTTGGATCCGGGTGCGCACTGATGCACCGCTTGTCAGGCCATGCTGTGACAGCGTCCCACATAAAATAGAGGAAGATAGGCACAGATGTTAGCTCAGAGCTGATCTTCCTCACAAAAAAGGAAAAAAAAAAGAAAAAAAGGAAACAGGCTCCAGAGGGTACTCACTGGCCTTACGTCACACAGCTCTGGACGGACAGCCCCTCCAGACTGCTCTGGATTTTTACCTTAGGGGGCCACTGAGATTTGAAGGAATTGGAGCCCAAGGTACTTCAGCCATCACAGGCCCTACTTGGCTGGGAGCTCAAGGGCAGAGACTCCAGGTCACCCCGGGGCCCTGAGAAACCAGCATGTTAGGTTTTGCCCAAGTGACTACTCTTAGTCCTGAAGACGGGCAAGGCAATCAAGGATTCATTCCTTCAATAACTACTTACTGCTGAGAGCTGAGCACCCGGCCACATCCATGACCCTCCAGTGTTGTGAACCGGGGGTGGGTGGGACTGACCAGGTGAGGTGGGCTCCTCCTCCCCTCCAGCTGCTCCTCCCAGAGCAGTTCTTCCACACCACTTGTTCCCAGGACCCTCCTGCCCCCTAAGATTGTCTCCCAATACAGCAATGGGCTTCTAGGGGCCAAAAGCACAGCCCAAACCCTCACCACCTCTCCAGCCCCACTGTGCAGCCTCTCCCCGGTCTCACTGCCTCCAGCCTCTGCTCATTTTAAAACGACTCCTTGGGTCTTTTTTTCCTCCACCTACCCCCTACACCATTGCTCTGCCCCTCTTTCAGGCATCAAGCTGCCCACCCTCTGCCAGAAGCCACCCCCACAATCTTTGTGTCAGTAAAGTGACATCACTGGAAGATTCCACCCTTTAAGACCAGCTCAAATGCCTAATGGTGACTGCCATCCCTCCCGCACCTGTACCTGGCCATGCCCTGGCTCTGGGTGGAGCTCTGCTCTCCCACTCGGGCTGTACCCATGGCTGGGGAAAGTAGGACAACCTCAGGAAAGGGGTAAGATGGACACCAGGAAGCACGCAGATGTCCAGAAGTGCTTCGCACCAGACACAGGATGCCTAACCTCTGTCTTACCAAACCAGGACCAGTGCTCAGCCCAGTCCACCTGGGCTCGGGATGGAAAGGGGTGGCCAAGCCCTGAGCTGTCCGGTAGATGGGGTTTGAATCCCAACACTGCTCCCCATCAGCTGTGACAAAGTCCACCCCCACCTCAGGTAGTCCGTGCAGCGGCACTAAAGGGGACGGCTCACTTAAATCCTGAGCAGGGACCGGCAGAGAATACGCTCTGATGAAGTCCAACTATTAGTTTCTTCAAGGCGGGGGATGGGTTTAAATTTTTTTTTAACACCATGTAAAACCTCTGGTGTGGTGTCAAGATATCATAAGGTCCTCTCCGCCACCCTAGTGTGTGATAATTATTTTCCTGACCCATGAGAAGGGAGAAGAGTATAAACTTCACAAATCAGAAGTGGTTAACAGTTGAAATATTCAGTTGTACAAAATACTGACCTCTTTTTCACCCCCTCTCCTCAGCCCTTGAGAGGCAGGTCCCAGCTCCACCTTTTGAAGTGGAGTTGTAACCGCGTAAATCCAGGTCATCCTAGCTGGTGTATATGAGGGCCACAGCGAGCCAGGTGCTGTTGCAAATGGCTTCTCCTTCAGTCCCTCAAAAGGTCTTCTCCTGCATCCTTGAGGTGGTGACCTGCTCGCTCCTCTTGGGAAACCCTGTCAAGGAGTCACTTCCCACCTTGAACTGTAAATGAGGGACCATGTAGCCCCTGCCCCCACTGTGAGCCCAGTCAAAGGAGAGCAGCTGCGTGTCCTGCTGGGCCACTAGGTGGACGAGGGCAGGGTCACACTGCACTTGAGCACATGGCAGACCAGGCAAGGCTTCTCAAGGATCTTGGCAACTCAGCATCTCAACAGCTGGTTTTAAGTTCAGATCCATGGCCCCATCCTGACCTACTGAGTCATAGTGAGGGAAGGAAGACTTCCAGATACACTTTGCCCTTCACAGTTCTCCGCCAAACTTCTAAGGAAAAAAAACCACTTCCCTGACCTTGATTCACCCCTTAACTAGCTCCTGCAATGCAAATGCCTCCCAGGCCTCAGTCCTTCCACTAACACAGCGTGACTGGGTGCCCAGTCCTGCGCAGGGGTCAGAGATGACCAGCCTCCATCCTACAGTAAAACGCATTCAGGTGTCCCAATTTAGCAGTTGCTCACTGCTGGATGCCTAGCAAGACACACTGGATTCTCACCTCCCTCCCAGGCAGACCCTTCTGAGAACTGGAGGTCAAAAGGCACGTCCAGGACCACACTGCACCACCCCCCTCACAAAGCCCTAGGGTGGTCTTCCGCTGAATGACACCGCCCTTCCCCTTAGACGCCTCCACTTGCCCGACACAGGTTCTTTCTAGCCCCACCTCACTCTACCCCTTATACCACTACCTTGAGACTTCTGACTCCTACGGCTCTGTCCCTCTTCCAGACCAACCTGAGGAGGGCACTGCCCTCTGCCTCGGGCCTCTTTATCCCCCACCTGAGACCAAGACCTGTCCACCTCACATTGGCTCCTCCACGCTTCTAGAATTTGCCCTGTAGCCTCCAAGGCCAGAACTCAGTGTTGGAGGCCAGGCCACTGCCCTACCTGTGCTTTAGGCCCGACCCCCTTAGGGGGCTAAACAGGCCAAGCTCCACGACCCCGAGAAGGATAAAAGTAAATATGGCACAGACCCTGGTTTTCGAGTCAGCCCACCACACACTCCCAGGGTGGCTTCACCTGTCTGTACTTCAGTTCCCTCTTTGGTAAATGAGTATCTCCTAGGACAACAACTTGTCCAGACTATGAGCTGACCAAACTAGGCAGCAGCACTCTAGACTCTAGAATAGAGCTTGGGAAACTCCCCATAAAGGATTAGATAGTAAATATCCTAGGCTTTGTAGGCCATGTAGTCCGTCACAACTGCAACTCCACCTCTGCCACAAATGTAAACAAATGGGCGTGGCTGTCTCCCAACAAAGATGTACATACCTTGGTCTAGAACCACCACCCTATGCCACTAGGGCAGCTAGGAAAATGAGGTCAAAAAGGGAGCTTTGGACACCCCAAGTAAGGGAGACCAGCAGGGCACGCAGAGGATGTACACCCAGTGAGATGCTAGAGAAGGGGCATGGTGGCCAGAAAGGACCACAGCAACTGTAAAGATGACCAGCAGGCTCATCTAGGTGTGTTATGCAGGCTCTCAATCCCATTTCCCATTAATCTATCCCCATGTAGAAAATGCTGCCAAAGACAGCTGGAGCCCCTCACCTCCAAGCGATGACAAGGGTGGGGTGGACGGTGGCATCACTTGTGGGCAGACCCTGAGCATGTTACTTAACCTCCCTGACGTCAACTATGAAACAGACACCACCAGTCCTTCTTTGGAGGTTTGTGATAGGTGCAGATTAAGCAAAATATGTATGTTCACCTGACCAAATGGGAAAAGCTATTAGATTCTTTCTCCTAATATTAGATCCAAAGCTGCCTTGACCTACTGACTCTTGGGGCATTGCCAAAGAAATTGAGGACCACACAGCCTTGCTTCTCAAGATGGAGAATGGGGTGGTGGTGGTCTCATCCAGTCCCCATCACTGCTGTGTGCACAGGGAAGTCAAGTCAGCTTCCCTTCACCAGCCCCATTTTCCTTCTAAAAGCACAGAACTGAGTGGGTGGATATGCCACCCTCCTTACCCACCTCACAGAGACCTTGTAGTCCTCAAGGGTGAGAGGCATGGCTGAGTCAGGTTGGCCCCTTTGCCCAGCCTAGGGCCTGAAACAGAGTGGAGCTCATGGGCATCTGATGGATGGGTGCACCACCAATCTACAAAATACCTTGTCTTCTCAGGTGCTGGGCAACTTGGACCAAGGCCAACTCTTCTCAAGGTCATTCTGGAGTTTTGTCAATTTCCAAACTCCGTTTCCCACCTACTTCCTATCTGGATACAAGCTTTGGCCAGGACCGAGCCCTCACTTCACAGCATAGGAAGGTTGAAGATCTGAGAGGCTGAGGGCCCTTAGTGGAGGCCTGTGCAGAAGCTGCCACGTTGGCACAATACAGCATTAACCCCCTCATCCCCAACTTAAGCCTTCGGGAGGGGTGGGGGTAAAAACTTAGAGAAACTTGAAATGTCAAGGACAGATAAGAACTAGCACTGTGCAATTAGGGGCTACACTCAATTCTTCCAAGTTGTTATTACTGCAAGATTAAGAAAAAGATAAAAGAGGGGGCTGGCAAATGTCACAGGGTGATCATAGGTTTTCTTCTGGGCACTTGGGACTTCTCAAGATTTAGAGCAAGGAGCTACCTGGCCAGATCCCCAATCACTTTCTCAGGAACAACTTGCTAAAGACAGGGAGAAAACTAGCATGATCATCTGAGCAATAAAAATAAGACAGCTGACTTTTCTTGGACAATTACTTTGCAATAAGCATGTTTTAAAGCATTTTGACTGTGTTAAACTTATTTGATCCTCACCATAATCCCACATTGGTATAATCATCAGCCCCATTTTAGAGATGGAAAAACAAGAGGCACAGGCAGATAGCGATCACACAGTTGAGTGGTAGAGAAGGATTTGATCTGGGAGAGTCTAAACTCCACTGACCCATTGACACAGAGAGAATAATGCCTTTCTCTAAAACAAACCACCTCTAAACAAAATATGAACACTCATTTGTCCCTGGATTTCCCTTGAGGCTCAGAGAAAACCAAGGGTCCTCACACAAAACTTTTACAAATGAATTATCAGGTTCAGAGTACAAAATTACTGAATATCACACAAAGCATGCAGTGACAGTGAAAGCTTTCTCCTCTCTTGCAATCTTGAGGGAGCAAGTAAGAACTCAGGGAATGGGGAGGTATGGTCTGTGCCAGGCGTCACCCAGATCCCCACTACCCAGCCAAAGGCCCCAGTTCTCACCAGCTCGCGTGTAGAACCAGTTCTCATCGTAGGGAGCAAGCTCTTTATGCTTGGCTAGCTTGACAGTGTCCACCCATTCAGGGACTTTCAGCTTCCCGGACCTGAGACCAAGACAGTGAAAGGCAAAATTCAGAGTTCTCCACAAACGCCTTCATCCTCCAAATCCCCTGCCCTCAACACAACTGTAGCAGGAGCCCGATGTGTTCCAGAACACAAAGAAGCTGAAACTCAAACACAACCCAGCCCTCATGTATCAAGGATAAACTCCACACTGAGACTTCAAATCTCCCCCACCCGAAAAGAGAAACACTGCGGGCCCTGAGGGACCAGGCAAAGACGACAGGCCCATGCCCTCCGAACCCCAGTCCCCACACTCACTTCTTGAGGAAGGCTGCCAGAGCTCGGACGAACTCCTGCTGGTTCACGTCTTTTACAGTAACTCCAGGCATCTGAGGGAAGGACCAAGCACATGAACCCAGGACCGGCGGAGAGACTGACAGGGGCCGGAGGCCGGCCCCACGCGACCTACACTGCCACCCTGTTCCTTCCCAAGGCCCCACTTCAACTTCGCGCCCTGAAGGCCCCGGCGCCTGCGGGTCCTACAGAGTTCACGGGCGCCCACGGCCTCCATAGGGCGCACGAACACAGCCTGCCCAATTTGCGGATACGCCGCAAACCCCGGCCGCTGACTCTGGGGGCCCCCCGCCTTCCCCGCGGCCCATCAGGTCCCCTCGGGTTCAGGACCGCGCCAACCGAATATGCCCGGGCCTGCCGCTCGCACGTGGCCGCGGCTGCAAGGGGCGGGGCAGCCCTGTGCGGCCGCCCCGGAGCCCCCAGGCACGCGCTCCGGGCCGAAGAGTCGGGCCCGGACACCCTGCACCCAAAGCGAACCGGAGCGCCCGACATACCGTGCGGCCTCCGCGCTGCCAGCCAGGGGAAAGGGAGCAACGGGGTTTCCCGGGCGCACAAGTCGGGCTTCGGGTCTCGCGAGAGTTGCGAGAGCTCGCGAGAACGGGGTTAGAAGAGACGGCTCCACCTTTCTCAGGGCAAATGTGGCTTCGCCTTCCCCGAGAGGGGAGGGTGTGTAGTGAGGGGCCGGGAAGGCAAAGGGAAAAGCCAGGGGAACATGCGTGGAGGCGTGTTTCCTCCCGCCCTTCCTTCTCCTGGACCGTAATAGGGAGAGGTGGAGAGAGCTCCTGTCTTGAGCTGAGGGGATCTGGCTTTGTTTGCGTCGATCGTGGCTGGAAGGAACAGCGGCGGAGGAGACTATGATGGCGGAAGTTATGGGGACGTTGGGTGGGCAAGAAAGACCTTGCGGGCGCCCCCACTGGGACAACCCCTTTCCGGGTGGAAGTGGCTTTTCTGGCCGGAAGTGGGGGTAGTAAGGGCGGAACTGTGACAAGGAACCCAGAGGAAGCGCGAGGAAGAAATGTGGCTACTACTTCCGTCCTTCGACGACCAGTACTCGCGAGAGCAAAGTCGAAAGCCCCACCCTTGTTAGGGCGGAAATTGCTTCACCACGGCACAGGTGACCCTCTGGTGGGAATAAGGCACTGGAGGCGGGGAGGAGATAAGGGCAGGGACAGAGAGGCGGAGGCGGGACCTTTGGAGAACTGAGTTCAGCTCTGCCTCCTAGTGCCTGAATGTGTTCGCTGTGCACTTAGGCTTATCTTGCCCGCTTAGGTTTATCTACTTCACTAACCTGTGCAGCTTTAGCCTGTCCACTTGCTTTCTCAAGGCTTCAGTTTCTCCGTAAAAAAAGAAAAAAAAAAAACGGAGACGCGGAGATCCCAATTATTTGCCCCTTTTAAGTGACTGCTCTGGTACATGATGCATCACATTCATTCTATCAACAAATATTTTTTGTGTGCCTACTCTCTGCCAGGCACAAGTAAACATTATGTAGTACTGTCGGCCCTCTGTGTCCACGGGTTCCGCATCCGCTGATTCAACCAACCTCTGATCAGAAGGCCTACTATGTCGTGTCTGTACTGAACATGTACAGACTTTTTTTTCTTGGCATTATTCCCTAAACAATACACTGTAGCAACTATTTACATAGTATTTACATTGTATTAGGTATTATAAGTAATCTAGAGATGATTTAAAATATACCGGAGGATGTGTGTAGGTTATATACAAATACTACACCCTTTTATTTAAGGGACTGGAGCATCGCAGATTTTGGTATGGGGGGTTCTGGAACCAACTCCTTGTAGAGACCTATGGATGACTGTATTACATACATGATCTAGTTTAATCCTTATAAGGTCCAACAACCAAGAATACTAGGGACACACCTATGGTCCAATAAAATTGTTAACTTGCTGCAAAAAGGAAACATTTAAATGTGTGTAGCTATTTTATGTTGAAAAGACTTTCAGAGTTTAAAACTTCAGAGGGAATGTTAATTTTTTTCCACAGTGAGATACTGTGTATGTGAAATGCCTTAATTATTAATAAGCCAATATGTTATGCCAATATCTGTTTTAAAAAATTAAAACCAACTGTCTTAGTTGGTTTGAGCCCCTCTAACAAAATACCATAGACTTAATGGCATGTAAACAACAGAAATTTATTTCTCACAGTTCTGGAGGCTGGAGGTCCAAAATCAAGGCGCCAGCAATTTGGTGTCTGGTGAGGGCCTGCTTCCTGATTCATAGACAGCCATCTTTTTGCTGAGTTATCACATGGTGGAAAGGGGGCAAGGGAGCTCTCTGGGGCTCTCTTTTATAAGGGCAATAATCCCATTCATGAGGGCTCCACCTCATGACCTAATCACCTCCCAAAGGCACTACAGCCAGATACTATCACATTGGGGATTAAGTTTCAACATATGAATTTTGAAGGGACACAAAGATTCAGTCTATAACACCAACTATGCTTCTAGCATGATAATATCATGTATTTAAATTAGGGGCTTTACGTTCATGTGGAATGTTGTTGAAACCTATTTTACATTAAAACTTGTGAATAGTTTTAGTATCTCAGATTTTTTTTCTCCAGAATCAACATATGTGTGTTTGAATATGTGTTTGTATGCAGGTGTAACTGTAAATGTAGGTATACTTGGGTAATTAATATTCACCTATTATACATTTCTGATGTACACTTCTAATATCAGTGCTGAATCATTTAAGCTTAATTCACTTGAGTCAATTAACTAAATATTTCTTTAAAAAAAAAAAAAAGGAGAGCTCTCCAGAGGAACTGCATAGTGCCTCAGCAAACAAATGAGGAGACAGGGTAAATATAGGATTTGGGAAAGGATGGAGCTTAGGTAAAATTTATTTTAAGCAGAATTTTGATGGACTCAAGGCAAAGCAGGCCCCATGTAATGGAGTCAATGTTATGTGTGGGCTGAGAAGCAGACACAGGCTCCTGTTTCCTTGGAAATTACAGGGTTAAGATAAACGTGCAATGTTATCTCTGGAAATCCCTCCTCTGAAGCTCTGCCTTGGGCTGGAAATCATGACTGCTTCTCTGTGACAAAGAGGCAGAGCCTCTATGCAAGAGTGAGATGTCCCATTCTCACTATTGCTGTGATTTCAAACAGCAAACTTTCTGACAGTCTATGATTTTAGATAACATGGATTCTCAGCAGTGGGTCCTAGCTATTAATTTCTATATGTGTTAGTTTTTACAGGTCCATAATCTTAACAACTCTGTGAGGTGGTTACAGACCAGGCAACTGCGGCTTAGAGAGTCAAGTCACTTGACTAAGGTCAGGTAAGCTGGGATTTGAATCCACAACTAATGACTGCTCAACCTTTTTCAATAACTCTGTCAACAGAGACTTTAAAAATGGTTCGAGACTGTGATACATCCAGACAATGGAATGCTATTCAGTGCTAAAAAGAAAGGAGCTATCAGGCCATGAAAAGACATGGAGGAAACTTAGATGCATATTATTAAGCAAAAGAAGCTAAGCTGAAAAGGCAAAAGGTATAATTCCAACTATATGCCATTCTGGAAAAAAGCAAAACTATGGAAACAATAAAAAGATGAGTGGTTTCCAGGTATTGAGGAGGGGAAGAAGGATGAAAAAGTGGAGCACAGAGAAACTTTAGGGTGGTGAAACTATTCTGTGTGATACTATAATGGTGGATACATGTCATTATATATTTGCCCAAACCCATAGAACGTACAATGCCAAGCATGAACCCTAATGTGAACTATGGACTTTGGGTGATAATGTGTCAATGTAGGTTCATCAGTTGTAACAAATGTACCACTCTGGTGGGCGATGTTGGTGGTGGGGGAGGCTGTGCTTCTGTGGGGGCAGGTGGACTATGGGAACTCTTGCTTTCTGCTCAGTTTTGCTATGAACCTAAAACTCTGTTAAAAAATAATGGGTTGAGGACAAGAAGTTGTTCATGTCATGATGAGGGGAGAGGTGGCATTAGAGTGCATTAACTTTGTAGGAAAAAAAAAATTCCTAAGGCATCAGACAGAACGTGTTTAGTCATTTATTCTAAGCCCCAGAGAGGAATTGAATGCAGTCCCTGCCCCCTGAGAGTATTTATTCTTGGAGGATGAGACACAGCTGGACAGAGATAGGCACAGCTCAGGGTGATCAGGCCTGTGAAATAGAGGCCAAGGGCCCCTAAGGAATGTAGGGAACTCTGCTTGAGGGGCATATCAGAGACATTATTTTAAATCAGATGAAAAGGATGAATCTTGCTTTTGGGAAGAGCTCAGGATCTCATGAGGGTCTATGCAGGGCATGGGTTATAGGACTGTGTCTATATGAACATACATACATTGGGGGCTGCAGAGCCAATTATACAATGGGACAGGGGTGCAGAATGAGGCCTACATGGGTGAGGCAATGAGGGTCTGAGTAGAAACTGGATGGGGATGGGTGGTATGATGTCACTTCTACTTTGGACAAGGAGTGTGGTCAGGAGTGGACCAGGTTCACACAGGGCTGAAGTGAAGGGAGCCTGGATTCCCAAAGGGTAGAATGTGCTCCTCAAGTAAAACCTGGGTGGCTGTTGAGGAGGAGTCTTGTTTGGAGAGAAAGGAGCAGGGATGGTGCTTCAAATTTGGAACCTCATTGGTTATTTCTGCAGAACATCAGGACGGTACACACAGGAAGCTTAGAAGGGGGATGATTTTCTCAATACCCTGTTGGACCCAGGCAACACCTTCCCTTGCTCTGCAATGGGAAGGAGGAAAGGGGGTCGCATATGAAACAGTGCTCACAGTCCACTGGCTGTAATCTCCAAGGGCTGGTCAGAGTCCAGGAGCCCATTGGCTCCCCACAACTGCAGGTGAAGCCTTTTGCACCCAAAAAGGCAGTGGCGTAGGAGCATGAGCAATTCCTAAATCCACCCTTTTCCCCAAGGCTGACCTCAGCAGAGCCTCTGCCCCTCTCCCTCAGGCACCAATGGGGAAGCCCTAATGATCTGATAGACAAAGTAGGCCTAGCCAGTGGTGTGAAAAGCCCTGCCAGGTCTGGCAAGAAGGGGAGGTGGGCTGTAGAGAAATGAGAAGGGCCTGTAAAGAGGGGCCTGCCCCCAGCTCCTTTCCTCAGTCTCCATCACTTTATTTCTCTTCTCCCCCCTCTTCTCATGCCACATCCTTTAACCCAAAATATACTTTCTCTTTTACTCTTCCCAGCTGTGTGGCCTTGGTGTACTGGGGACCTTTGGTCAGCCCTGAGTAGAAGAGTCTTAGCCATGGTGCATGCTGCAACACTTCCCTCCTCCATGACTGTGTGGGCTTGGCCATCTGTCACTGGGAGAGCATGGCACAGCAAGGCTTAGGCAGATCTCTTAAAGGGCAATGATATTTCTAAGTTATAACAAGGGGAAGGAAGGAAGGGGTGAAGCCAACTTTTGTCCTTTGATTATCTTGTGCTGAGTCCTGACAAGTGTTGCAGATTTGTTACTCTGTAATCTGTTAGGGAGTAGAAGAAGCCCATGTTCTCAAGGCCCCAAACAAGAAAGAACAAGCTGTAATTGGATGTCATCACCATCAAGCATCTTGAATAAAAAGAAGGGTGTTGGTAACATCAGGAAAAAGATTCAGTTATCAGGCACGTCCCTTGAGCTTCCTGTCTGCCCCTTCTAAGGGTAGGGATGGGGATGGGGGTCTCCAGGTCTTCATATCTTTGGAATAGCTCAACAGGTCTTCACATGTTTGGAATGGTTCAAGGAGAAGGACTCGACAGCAGAGGACTAAGAAACAAATGCAGGTAATATCTTATTATTACTTAATGATATCTTGGGTAGAAAAAGAAAAGACTTTTTGAAAAACGCTTGGAACTCATGTCTGTCTCCTGGAGTCCTGAATTTTTCACTCTGTTTTATTAAAATTACCTACTAATTGACTTATGGCCTGGGAAAGAGAAAGAATTCCCCCAATACTTGCCTAGAAATTTTTCTTAAAATACTTGGGCAAGTCACTGTATCTCTTTAAGCTTATTCCTTTATTTGTAAAATGGAGTAATCATGCATAGCTTACAGAGTTGCTGTGAGGAGATATGTGAATCACATATAGTGGGTACTCAATACATGGTAATAATTATCTCTAATCTTTTATAGGTCTTTCAAAACTTACACACATGAACCTCCCTAGTTTAGGAAAAATCCTTGATAAAGACTAACTTGATTCTGCCTGTCCTGATTGGCCTCAGTTTCCCCATTTGAAAACCGTTATGTTAGATTAGCATTAAATTGGCATTCCATTGGCCAAAGCTGGCCTGAAGACATGTTTTATTTGGCCCACATAGGATTTAAAGAATAAAACTGAGCCCACATTTGAAAATTAAGACATTTTACATAAAAATATAGTTTTCCAGCTTCTCTTGAAAAATCAGATGTGGCAATACTGAGCCCATTCCTGCTTGGCAGCAACACGCAAGGGCCGAAAGGAGGCTCTCCCTTAGGTAGGGGAGACAGCCTCAGTTTTCTAGGGCTCATCTGGCCTTCTTTACTCATTTATATGATCTCCTTGGCCCCGTAGGCATTTTAATTTGTGGCCCTCTGGACAGCTGGAAACTGCCTATGTCTGGCACAGAGCAGGAACTTAATTATTGAATCAGTGAATTTCCCCCTCTCTCCCTCTACCACTCTTTCTTATCTGGCCATAATAAGAAATCCAAGTTTGTATTCATTTGTGGTAGTTATTGAATAACTGATTTTCACTTTGAGAAGTGAATTGAACAAGTCCTTTCTGTCAGTCAGGATAGACTAGGTTAGGCCGAAGTAACAAACAATCCCCAAATTTCAGTGGCTTAAAGCAACAATGGTTTATTTCTTGCTTACTCACACAAACCGAGACACAAAATGAAAATACTCTTCTGTTTTCACATGCATGGAGACAGACATGAGTGCATAGGTATGTACAGAATCATGTGTCAAATGAATACCCTGGAACATGAATTCATGCCAAAACCTATTTTGATATTGGTTAGCTTAAACTGCACAACTCTTTCTTTGTTGGGGATTTGAAAAGGTCCCAGGACCCAAGGGTGGGGGTAAGAGAATATCCACCTTTGGGCAAGGAAATGCCCCCACTACAAAGGGAACCAAAAGCTAACACCTACCTAAGCACCTGAAAGCTTAAAAAAAGCCCGAAGTTTGTACTATATTAAATTTGATGCATAAATCCATAAGTAAAATATCAAATATGCAGTGCCTGCAGGCTGTTGCCCCCTGCCCCAGCAAGGCCTCCACCTCTGGGCTTCTAGCTTAGGAGGGAGATGGACCCCAGATGCCCAATATGCAGAGCTACGGAGGGGGCTGGGCTGGGTCGGAGAGAGGCGCCAACAGGCTGGAATCCTCTTCCTCCAGCAGGAGCTACAGGCAGGAAGGAAGGGGGCAGGACCAGGTCACATCCATTTCCTCTCCCAGCAACCCCCTCTTTTTACCCCATCCAATCCAGGCCTCATCCTTGTTCACCTGGATTATAGCAAACACTTCCTCCTCACTGATTCTCCCACCTCCAGTCTTGCCTCCTCCAGTCCCTCCATCACAGCCACCATACTTGTCTTTCTAAAGCTCAGGGTCTCTGAATATGTCCCTGCATAGCTCAGAGACATTCCCTAGTTCCCCTTCACGCACAGTTGCTGGTCTAGATTCCTAAGCCTGGCATGCCAGACCTCCATGATCAGAAGCCTCTCCAGCCTCATCTCCTGTTCCAGCAGTTCCTCTGGGCAGGTTTCCTTGCCCGCACACCATGCTCACTCCACCATTTTGGAGAGGAGAATTCTCAGCCTTCCCTCTCTGTCCCTATAGGTGTTTTGCATTCCTCAAGATTCCTCTAGTTCTCTCCAGGTTTGTAACTGAGCTTTGTGAAGGCATCCAGGTTCCCCAAGTAGAATGGAAGCTCCCTGAAGGAGATCTCAGATCTCCTTTCAGGCCAGACTCTTGTTACCTCTTCAGCCCCTCTCCAGACTTCAGCAGGCAGCTTGGGTCCAGAGAGAGAGCCTTGGGCTGGAGTCAGGAGACCAGGCTCTGCCACTGTCTTGCTATATGTCCTTGGGCAAGTCCCTACCCACTCAGGACCTCCCTTTCCTTGACATCAGGGAGCTGGACATTTGCTTTTGAGCACAAAGCTGATAAAACTGATCCACTGAACAACTCTCAACTGCAACCCCAGGGGCTAGGTTGAGAAGCTTGGGGCCTGGGCCCGAGAATGTTCAACCTGCGGACCCCCGGATCTCGTTAGTTAGTCCCTGCATACTCCAGTACCTCCATTTCCCAACCATCCCTATCCCATCCTCTCCTTTCAGGGAGCAAGTTACCTGGTGGGCCACAAGGGTGGAGCAGGGAGATCCAGGCAGGGTTTGGGGGGACAGAAGAGGTCAGGCGGGGAGCCTGGGACAAATCTTTCAGCCCCACAAGAGCCTCAGCTGCCTCCTGCTGCAGCTGCCGCTCTGAGGGGGCAGAGGTCCAGGCCAGGCGAGAGGCTCTGGGGGCCTGCAAAGGAAAGGAAGAGAAGTAGACTGGGAACCCCCACTTCTGCCTGCCCTCCAAGTGCTCCCTCAGGCCCTGGTTCCTTCACTATCCCCCACCCCTCTTTTCCCCACGCTCAACTTCCTCCCAGGGTCCTGGACCCCAATTTTTCCCCAGGACCTGTGGTTGCAGCAGAAGAGGGTCTAGGGTGCCACAGGGCTGGAGTATCAGAGTTGAGCATCTAGAAGCAAAGAGAGAAGATGCCAGGGGGATTAAACACACGGTCAGACATGTACGCATGGAAAGAGGGGCAGGATTTTGCTATATTTTGATCTGGGAATCTGAGTGCCTGCTGGGTCATTACGCTCTGTGGCCTTGGGCAAGTCCCTTCCCCTGTCTTGGTCTGCTTTGTTTTCCGTAAAATGAAAATCCCTGCCAGCTTCTTCCTCCCAGGACTACTGTGAGGATTATGGGAAATCATTGGTGTCCGTTTTTTCTTTTTCTGAGGAAGATTCACCCTGAGATAACATCTGTGCCAATCTCCTCTATTTTGTATGTGGGACGCCTCCACAGCATGGCTGATGAGTGGAGTAGGTCCACGCCCGGGATCCGAACCTGTGAACCCGGGCCGCTGAAGTGGAGTGCGTGGAACTTTAACCACTCGGGGCCAGCCTGTGTCAGTTTTTAAAAATGACAAATCATCTAGAGGGAATGGGATGACTGTTCCTGCCCTATAAGAGTCTGATTTCCCTCCCTGTAGATCCCCAATCCCCCTGGAACTTGAGGAGCGGCTTGGCCCACCTTTAGGAAGCCTTCTGTAATGGCCTCTAGCCTCTCTCCTAGGCCTCTGAGGCTGTCACCATCACGCCCCACCCCCCCATTTCAGCAGGCAATTTGACCCCATCTTACCTGTTTAGGTGGATTTAATAGCCACTATTTGTTTAAGGCCAGGGCCTGTGCTAGGTGTACTCCATACACTATTGCTAATTCTCATGACAACCTGAGAGGTAAGTAATAGTGTCTCCAATTTACTGATAGAAAATCAGGCTCAGAGAGGTAAAGATACTTGTACAAAGGTTCACAGCTAGGCAATGGCAGAGCTGGGAGACCTCTGCCTCACCCATTAGTCTGAGACCTTTTTTCTTCTTTATTATCTACTATGGTGTCCAGCACAAGGTTAGGCACATGATAAACACATATCCCTTCTCTCCCTACTCACGTGCGGGGCAGGGCAGAGGGCCCTTGGGATTCTCCAGAAAGAGGAGCCATCAGTATCGGGTGAGATCCTGGGCAGGTTGGGAGGGGCTCAAGATTGTGCAGCCGGAGGGAGGTGCCGGGGTCAAACCCTAAAGAGGGTAAGAGAATGCAGAGTGCACAGGGGTCAGAGGTCATGGCTTCTGTTGTCCATCTTCCTACCCTGTATCCTCTTCCTCTTGTTTTTCTGATACAATGATACACTGGCATTCAAATATCTGCTGAATGAATGTTGAATTCATCTTACCAGGGAAGGGACGTAGAGGGACAGCAGGTTCTTGGCATAGCAAGCGGCACACCATTGGGGGTGGCATGGCAAATCCTGGAGGCAGCCAGTGTCCAGGGGCCCTAGGGCCTGGAGGCACTGGAGTCCAGGGCAAAGGCAAGGCATTTGGGGGACGGCTGAGCAGCAGAGGTCCCTGGGAGGTCTGCAAGGGCAGAGGGCACAGGTTAGAGTCAGGTACAAGGCTGGGGAAGGAATGGGTATGTTCTAGGATAGGGGTAGGATCCCCAAAATTCAGAGCTTGGAAGGCTGTAAAATCCCACCCCCTCATTTTGCCTATGGAAGAGAAGTCAGGGCTGGACCTAGGACTCAGGTGTCCAGGGCATGGAGGAAGGGGTCTGGGTTGGGGTTAGGATATGAGTCATTACCTCAGGGCCCAGGCTCTCCTTACCTTCCCAGGAGGTGTCAGTGCCTGTGGGACTGCCCCATGGGGGGTCTCAGGCTGGGGCACTATGTTCTCTTTTCCAGCTGTGAGGGACCAGGGGGAGCTTTGGTGAGCTCTTTCTCTTGACCCCCATTCCACTCCGACCCCAAACTGAGTTCTTATCTCCCCCTGGCTCCTTTCTATTCCAGATCTCAGTTTCCTCCCAATACTTGATCACATTCTAAAGTTGAGGAGGCTGAAACCCAGAGAGTAGGACACCTTGCACAAGGTCACACACCAATTCAGTGGCAGGACTGGGACTCTTTTCCCTACTTATGCTTTCTCTACCCAAATCCCTGCCCCATCCCTGGCGAGAGACACTCACGGCAGAGCCGTGGTTGAGTGGCTCCCTTCTTGACATGGCTGGGAGCTTTGGGAGGGGCTTCCCCTCTCCTTATCAGTCCCTGAGCCAGGTGCCGCTTTAGCTGTGCCTCCTGCTGCCTACGCAAGGCCACCTGGGCAGCCATGACCCTTCGGCGCTCCCTGAAAGAAGGGTTGAGAGTCAAAAGTCAGCCACCCTTTAGATGAGGCCCATCCTCCTCCCTTCCCTGGACCTCATACTCACAAGATGAGGACACATTTGTGACACTCGCAAGCCTGAAAGAGGCAGAGGCGCTTGTGGCCCTTGAGGTGGGCAGTAACACCGTGGTTGCGGCAGCGTGCACAGGTTGGAGAGCGACTGATGGCTCTCCTGGGGATAAGCTCCGTGCCCTGGGGGGCTCTGGTCTCACCCGCTGTGGCAGAGTCTGAGGGGCAGTGGTGGACAGCAGGCATTTCATTGGGTTCCATGGATCTAGGGGCAGGAGTGGAGGGTCAGGATGGCCATGTGGCCCTCTCCTGACCAGCCCTCCTGCCTCTGGGAGGCCACACCTGAGATGGTTCTCCATCCCGCCCACCTCTGGGCTCAGATTTCACCCTGGCTTCTCCCCTGCCTTTCTCTCTTCTTCACCCCACTGCCTTCCTCAGGCATCCTCCTTCCCAGGTGCACCTGCTTCCCAAGAACCCCTCTCCTCTTTCCATTCTTCTGCACTCTTTCAATCCAAACATTGTTCTCTTCTGCCCACCTGCACAAATCCCAGTTTCAGGCATACTCATGCACTCTCATGCCCCCTTCAACAATTCCTACACCCTCCTTTTCACCAACACCCCATCCCAACAGTTCTTGGCATCATCTTCAACAATTATCATCCTTCCCTCCTGCATTTGTCCAACTCCTACAAATATTTTTATGCTCCCTCTTCAATTCTTACCCTCAGGTATGTGCTACAACTCAATTTCCCTCTTGCACCCCTTTTAACAGAACAGTCTCTTGCCCCCTGCCCCCCATTACATTATTCTCATGGACTCCTTGTCCCATCTTCAATAATTATTTTCCTTCACCCAGCAAATGTTTACTGAGCCGCTGAGATGTGCCAGGCCCTGATCTAGGCCGAAAGCCCCCTCCTCATGGCACGAATTTCTCTTGCACCCACACGCCCTCCACACATAGATGAGGACCCGTGCAGTCGCTATGCCCAGTGCTTCGTGTGCCATTGCCCACTCCCAACAATTGATCTCTCACAGCGCCCGCCCCACCTCCCCGCAGTGTACCACCTCCTCCTCAGGCGGCTGTTACTCGTGTGCACCCCTTTCAGCAGCTGTCCCCTCAGAGGCTGGGCTGGTGGCCCGGCCTCGCTCCAAGGTGCCAGGGAGGGGGCATGGCCCGGAGAGCGCAGAGGGGCCCGCGGGGTGGGGGAGGGGAGAAGAGGGGCGCGAGGAGCGCGAGGGGAAGGCGGGGGGATACTTGGGGGGAGGGGGTCGGTCCAGCGCAAGAGAGAGGGAGGAGAAGGGACAGGGAAAGGCGGGGTCGTGTTCCCGTCGTCAGCTAGCGATTACCACAGCCTCAAAAGAAGCCAGACTCAGTCAGGAAGAGGTGAAAGGACTGCCTGAGGAGCGCTGTGAGGAACGGTCGCGCTCACGCCGGTTTTCCCGCCCCTTCTTACAAGGACCAATGAGCTTCAAGTGCCGCCACCCTCCACCGAGACGAGTGACCAATGCACTTCAAGATCCTGCACTGATGGCCCGCCCCTTACCCCTGGCCTGCTTCTTCTCGCGCGAGACTATGAGGCCAGCCAATAGCGCGTCGAGTTGACTCTCACATTCCTTCTTCCTCCCTCTGTGGCTCCCCTTCCGGAATAGTTGTTCTTCTTTCAGGGGCGGTGGCCAATGGGGCGTCGAGTACTACTTCCAGGACGAGGCTGGCCTTGCCCACCAGCCCGCCCCCGCCCCGCGGGCGTTGATCTGGACCCGGCTGCGCAGGCGCAGTTTCGCCCCCTGGCTTGTACGGCGCAGGTGGGCCTTTTGGGCTCTTAGCCTCGGCGTCCCTCTCTCGCTTCTCTTCGCTGTGTGGACGCTGGTGTCTTCTCCTCTCTCCCAGTGCCCCAACTCCCGGTCTATCCTTCTGCTTTTATGCGTTCCCCGCTCTGTGACTTCCCTGTTTTCTTCTCGAGTCCCACCTTCTCAGGTTGGGCCCCTTTCCTTGTGTCTCTTCTCCGTGTCTGTGCCCGTTTTCCCAACCTCGATTTTTCAGTTCTCTCCGAGTCTCTCTCTGCTTGTCCATCCTGCTAATTTTCGGATCCCCTTTCTCCTGGTGCCTCATTCCCTTATAGCCAAGCCCCCTCTCTCCCTTTCTTTGCTTCCTGAGATGCCTCTGTAATTTTTCTGTCTTTTCAGCCCTTTCCATTCTCTGTGTGCATCTCTCCAGATTTCCACCCAATTCGCGGGCTCCATGCTGTAATCGTCGCCTTCTCTGTGTATCTCTATTAGACCCATCTCACGGTTTCCCTCCCCATCCATCCACTCTTTGTTGTCTCCTCTTCTCTTTTTCACCTGTTAAGATCCTCTCCTCTTTCCCCTGAGAAAGTGTCTTTGTGACCCACTCCTCATTTTCCTGCCACTCCAATTGTGCTCTCTCTGCTAGTCCTCCTCTGTCTCCCTGCAAGTTTCCATTCCATTAGTTTGCTCCTCCTCCTGTGTATGGTTTCTCTTTTGTAGGGGTAGCATCCCCTCCGACCACTACTCCCTCCTTTTCTCCTTGAGGATTTCTTTCCAGTCTTTTCTGGTTGCGTCCCCGCTTCTGCTCAGATTGTTAGGTCCTGTCGTGTGGCGTTCCAGGCTGGTATGTGCCATCTTCTTTGATTGGCCCAACCCCTTTGTGTGATGTTTGTCCGCCTTCACTTCCCCTTCCTCTGTCCCATGTTTTCTGCAGGGTTTGGCCCCTTTGTTTGCCACAGATTTCTGGGTTACAGAGCCTGAGTGTTCGGCCTTCTGGACAGAAAAGGGCAGAAGTGACCTCTAGCTGGACCGCTGTGCAAGGGAAGCAGTACTAGACAAAGTTGGAAAGGTTGTTTGGGGCCAATCTAGGGGCGGTGGGATGGGGGTGTGTGGGGGGCTTGAATGCCTACTAAAGAGGTTGAACTTGATCCTTTAGATAGTGGAGAGAGAGAGACAGGGGAACCAACATTTATGGAGAGCTTTTCATTTTCCTGGCACTTTGTATTAATAATCTTATTAATTTTAACAGTAATCCTAGGAGATGAATTATTAATCCACTTTAAATGAGTTCAACAAATTGCACAAGATCGTACAGCTAGTAAGTGGAGGGGTAAAGAGTCCAACCTTGGTCTATCTTTGAGTCCAAAGACTATGAACTTTGTACTACCTACATTGTTTTAGTTGTTTCCAGGAATCCGCATTCCCCACTTTCGTTCCCTAACCCTCCCCTAGGGAGTCATTTCAGGTGGCCAATGCGTATCTTTTGATTTGTGTATGTTCTTGCAGATGTGCGGTGTTTTATGTGCATGAGGTTTTAATTTATGCAAGTGATATTGTGTTACTTACTATTTAAAATAATCAGCACTATGCTTTTACAATCCATCCATGTACAGTTATGTGTACATCTAATTAGTTGCTTCTGACTGCTGCATGATATTCCATGGTGTGCATCCCTGCGTGTTTCAAGTTCACTAGGTCTAAGGGAGGGACACTAACATTGTCTTCAACTCACCATCACCACAGTAGTGCTGCATTCTTGTACATATTGCTTTGTAGACGAAGGTGGAAATCCCTGTTATATGTATTAGGGTATACCAGAAGTGGGTATTTCTAAGCCTAATTTGACTAAGTATTTCCAGACCCCTCCCTGGAACACTGCTTTGGGCCTGAGACACTGATCCAAACCCTCAACTCCTCTGTTCCTCAGGGTCCAGAAGAAGGCCCTATACCCCGCTACCCCCACCTTTGCCACCATCAACCACCCTACGAGCAGCAGGGCACAAGGGTCCCCGTGTCCCCACATTTCTGCCAATGCTTGTCTTTTGCCAGCTTTCTGATCCTTTGCCAGTCTGATAGATGTACAGTTCAATAGATTGCATTTCTCTGATTATTGTTGAGCTTGAGCATCTCTTCACATGTTTGTTAGCCTTTCTAGTTTGCTCTTCTGAGAATTGTCTCTTCCTATGGTTGGACCATTTTCCTCCTGGGGTTGCTCTTTTTTTCTTGTCAATTTGCCAGAGATCCTTGGCCATTCTCATTGGTTTAAGACAGTGCATATACTCTTTTTATGCCAATTTTGGCATTTCATATTATTCTAGAAATTTATCCATTTCATCTGGGTTTTCAAATTTATAAATGTAGAATTGTTAATGATACTTTTATTATTTTTAAAACATCTGATGTCTGTTATTTCCCATTTTTCATTCTGTATTTTATTTGCATCCTCTCTGTTTTCTCTTGATTGGATTTACTGGAGAATGATCTTAATCTTGTCAAAGAATGAGTGTTAGTTTTTTGTAATAATTTTTTTGTTGTTTTCTATTTTATTGATTTCTGCCATCATCTTTGTTTCTGTCCTTTTTTGGGGGAGGAGTGCTTTGTTGTTCCTTACACAACTTCTTGAGTTAATTCATGAACATATTTTTTAATGCTTCTTGTTTTATTGTACATTGATAAATGTATTTAAAGTATAAATTTACTTCTAAATACTGCTTTAGTTGTGTCCCAAATTTTGATGTGTAGTTTTATAAAAGCTTTTGATTTTGAAATGATTATTGCCTCACAGGAAGTTGCAAATATTGTATACGGAGTCCCTTAAACCTTTCTTTCATCTTCCCCACAGGGACATCTTATATAACTGGAGTATATATAAGCAGGAAATTGACATTGGTACAATGCTCTTAACTAGACCTCTGACCTTATACAGTTTTCATCAGATTTTACATGCATTTGTGTGTGTGTGCATGTAGTATGTTCATACTGTTCATTTCTAAATACTTTTTAATTTCCTTTTCACACCAAGGGTTATTTAGTAATATGTCAGTTAACTTCCACACACACATTTGTTGTTCTGATCTCATTGTCTCTGGCTGGAAAACAGCTTGTATGATAAGTGATCCTTTGAATAAGGCAGAATCCTCTGCTCAGCACCATGTCCAATGGGAGGAGCTAAGCAGGAGGGTGAAAGTCATGATTTGAGAAGCTAATGTGGTGGGTTTGAGTGAGGTTGGAGAAGAAACTATGGAGATGGAAAGACCTGTGTCCCTGAAGGTCTCAGGGAGCCTATGTCGCAGAAACTGATAATCAGATTTCTGCTCCAGGAACAGTGACCCAGAGGCAGGTGGACAGAGAATTCAGGGACTGGCAAGAAGTGAGCTTGAGACCTAGGTTGAAGTTGATTCCAGACTGACCTCTGGCATCCAGCACCCAGACACAGGACCATGGGACCCCAGCATTTGAGCCTTGTGCAGCTGATCTGCCTCTTAGTGGCCATCTCCACTCTGCCTCGTAAGTCCTGTGGGGCTGCATGCTGTGAGACCCCCAGAGGGTGGGGGACGGGATTCACATAACTCAGGGAAGGAGAGCTGGATGTCTGGGTTCCTCAGGGGACACAATCTGTGAAGGCTGAACTCTTAGTTGACAGTACAGGGGCTGAGAAGGCAATGTGAGGGGCAGTGGCTGGAAGAACATTCTCTTTTTAGGAGCTGGGACTCTTCTGTGCTATGAAGCAACATCTTCACTCTTCAGAGCTGTTAGTTTCCATAACTGGAGATGGCTTCTGTTGAGAAGTATGGTGTGTAAGCTGGCCGAGGGCTGTGAGGAGACGCTGGTGCTCATCGAGACAGGTGAAGGAGAGTGACTTTGATACACTTCTTTTTGCTTGCTCTTCTGACCCCCAGCTCCATTCCCAGCACCCAGGGACTATCGACCTGAGTTCCATATATTTACCCCATTATGTCTTTGGAAATAATGTCAAGACACTGGCAGGAGAGGGGCAGGACCCAGCTGGTTGTGGTGTGGGCTGGATAAGAGAGCAGAATGGAGGTGGGTAGATCCCAGGAGGAGGGGGGCAATCTGGGAGAGAAAAAAAGGGTGGGACACAAGGGAGAGAGGAGTGAGGAGAGACAGATGGAGACCCAGGGATCTGAGCTCTGTGAAGCTGCAGTGAGTGGACACTGGGGGAGAGGCAAAGTTGGTGATGGGGCAGAGGGAGCAGGAAGCGCAGGGTGGAGGGTGGGAGTGTGGACTCTGGGTGTGGCCAACGACACTGATCTCTCTAATCTGCTCTTCAGGGACCAGAAGGGGAGTCGTGGGCTTTAAAGGCTGCAGCCCAGCCTCATCTCACCCCCAGCAAGTCTCCTACCTCGTTTCACCACCTGGATTGTCCATTGCCTCCTATAGCCGCGTCTGCAGGACATATCTCTGCAATAACCTCACCAGCTTGAATCCTTTTGTAAAGCTCAAGGCCAACACTCTTAAGGCTGCAGCAGTTTCTTCCCATAGTTGCCCAACCTGTGTGGGCGTGCACTCTCAGGATTGCCTCCCAAGTTTTGTCACCGTGGAGTCTTGCCCCTCCAATGCCCCTAAGTGTTACAGTTCCACCTTAAACTTTAAGGCAGGTGAGAGGAGAGACACTTTCTTTTTCAAATACCTACTCTATGCCAGGTGCTATCTGGTGCCTTCCCATCTCTGAGAGAGGCTGGTGGGATCCGAAGAGGGGATTAGGATTGTGCGGACCAGGCACATGAATTCCAAGGAGGAAGGAGGATGGTGCCTGGTGCCTGAGACTTTGATGGGAGAGCAGGTGCCCTTGTGAGGGGTGTCTGGAAGGAGAGGCAGGGCACTTGAGTCTTGAAAGTGTCCCTGACTCCTCTCTCTGTTCCTTACAGGGTTTCTCAATACCACCTTCCTCCTCATGGGCTGTGCTCGTGAACAGGCCAAACTTTTAGCACATTTTTACCAGATTGGGAGCATCAGTGTGACTGAGGTCCTCAACATTGTGGAGAAGGCCCAGATTGCTGGTGCGGAGCCCTCCAGTCAGGGTCCTGCTTGGGGCATCCTCTTAGGCCTCCTGCTTGCCTTCAGGAACTGATGATCTAGCTGGACCAGGCAAACACCCAGACCCCTTCGTGTAACCAAATAAAGTCAGAGTTGCCTTTATGTTTGGCTTGGAAAGTGTGAGGAGGGCCAGACATGTCCAGGGGGGTGGGAGGGAGGGGCAGGCAATGGGCAGTGTGCTTGGTGAAGTGAGCGGGGGAATGGGGAGGAGGGTCGCTGGCAAAGTGACAGTGTCATGCCCAACAACCAGGAGGAACTGGAATATTCTTTTTCTCCTCCCCCTTCCTCTGGTCTCCTCTGGAGATCTGAGCTCTAGCCTGGGTTCAGCCATTGACTTAGAGATCCTGGTCAAATCTCTCCCCTTTTCTGGGCCTCAGTTTCCTTCCCTTTAAAATGAAGAGCCTTACGAATTAGAGCTGAGTCTCATCAGGGTAATTTTAAAATACCATCACTTACTGAGTGTGTGTCAGATACTGTGCTAGGATCTGTGCTAGGATTTTACACACAGTAGCTCATTTCATCCTCACAAGACCTCACTGAGACAGGTTTTCTCCCTATTTTGCAAAGAAGAAACCGGCTCTAGGAGGTTAAATTGCCTGCTCAGGGTAGAATCCCTCTTGCCTCCCCTGCTGATCTCTGTCCCTGCTGAGGGAATTTTATTGAGAAATTTGGAGACCTGAGCTGCTTTCTTCTGCCCAGTAGTTGTTTCTTTGTGTAAGTTGGCAAATGAGGAAAGGGGAAGGAGCAGTGCTGGGGGTGGCGAGTTTCACTCAAAGTTCAGATTCCAAGCTCCTAGGAGAGGAGGACAGTGTAATTCCTCTCTATGGCCATAAGGGAACAGCAGATGTATGAACCTTGGAACTTCAGGCTTTTAAGTTGGGGTGTAGGTGTGTGTGTGTGCATGCGCGTGTGTGTAGGGGTGGGGAATGGGGAAGGGAGAGTCTCTGCGCTAGGCCATTTACGTGTGTGATCTCAGTTTAATTCTCTCCACTGTCTTGTGAAGTGGGGAGGCAGACACTTAGGGTACTTTTACTGTAGTTTAAGCATTTTCTGTGTATTACCTCATTCATTCTTACTACAACCTTATCAAACAGATATTGTCACTTCTGTATTTCCATTTTACAGGTGAAGAAACAGGCTTAACTACTTGAGGCCCCAGAGCCCATCTTTGTTAATAGCTTGGGCAAGTGGGATCTGAAGCCTCAGAAGGGGGACTGGCATGAAGACCTCGATTACTATGTACAGGTTTTGGAAGGGTGGTTGGGAAGCCAAAGGAGGTCATGGTAAGTGGAATAGGTCTGAGTGGAGACCAGAGAGCCTGTGGCAAGAGGCTGTTAGGTCATGGAGGGAAGGTTTTGTGGGTGAGTTTTATTGGTGGACTTCACCCACCCTGTACTTATGATCAGCTGGGCTAGTAGATAATTTTAGAGGGCTGAGCCGAGGCCTGGGTAGGCCAAGGCATATTTCCATAGATTCTCTTAATGCCACTAGCCAAGGTGGCAAGGACATTGATTAAAGGGAGTTGGCCGGTCAAAGGGGGTGGTATCCTTAGGTGTCCCAGTGGCCTAAAGGATGGCCTCAATTGTGATACCAGAGACAGGACATGTTTACTATGTACAAAAGATTATGTGTAACCAAAATATTAGAGATGGAGTGTGATTTAATGAACCCCACAAACATATCACTCAACCTAAGAAATACGATATCAGGAGTAACTTGCATCTTACCTCTGGGTCTTCCCAGCCCATCTTCCTGCCTCCTCCCATGAGGTAACCACCACCTTACATTTTACTTGGCTTGGATTTTTATATGCTTTGATCACATATGTATAATATGTTTAAACAATAAATGTTGTTTAGATTTGCTTGTTTTTGATCTATGTAAAAATGATATCATATGTAGTTTTCTGGAACTTGCTTTTTAAAAACTCATCATTCTATTTCTAATCTCCATCCATATTCCGGTATATGGTTTGGTTCTTCCATTTTCACTGATGTGTTACCTCCTATTGTGTTATTGTATCACAATACAATTATTGTCAATTATGCTTGGATTTCCCTCACCCACTCCCCCCAGTTTTTTGATACTTGTGGTCATTGCTGCTATGAATATGCTGGTACGTGTCCCCTTGTGCTCATGTGTAGGAGTTTTTGCTGGGTACACACTCAGGAGCGGAATTGCTGGGCTGTAAGGTTCTTCAGCTTTGGGAGACAATGCCAAATTGTTTTCCAAAGTGGTTGTAGCAATTGTACATGGTGAGAGAGTAAGGAATTCTTGTTGATCCACATGCCCATCCACATTTGCCAATCAGTTGGGTGTAAAATGGCATCTCATTGTGGTCTGCATTTGCATCTCCCTGATTTACTAAGTAGCTTGAGCTTCTTTCCATGTGTGTATTGGCTGTGCTTCTTTTGTAAAATGTCTCTTTAGGGGGTTTTTGGGTCTCTTTTTCTGTAGGGTTGTTTATCTTTTTATTATTGATATGTAGGAGTTCCTTATGTATGCTTGATTATTGTATACTAATCCTTTGTCAGTTAGATGATTTGTCTTCATTTCTTATAGTGTCTTTTGAAGAACAGAATTTTAATGTTGAATTTATCAATCTTCCAGTTTTATGATTGATTTTTCTTGTGCCTTGCTTAGGAGATCCTTCTCTACCCAGAAATCCTAAAGATACTCTCCTTTAAATTCTCCAAAAAATTAAGTTTGGCTTTTCACATTTAAGTTCTTAATTTGTTTAGAAATGATTTTTGTGCATCTTTGAGGTAGGAATCTATTTTCATACAGATAAGTAATTGCCCAGCCCCCTTTATTGAATAATTCCTTCTTCCCCCATTTATCTGCAATGGCATTTTGGTTGTATATCAAATTTCCCTATTTGGATGAGTCTGTTTCTGGGCTTCCTATTTTTCTATTGATCAGTTTATCTACTCCTGTGCCAACACTACACTGTCTTAATTTTTATAGCTTTGTAATAAATCTTTATACCTGATAAGGCAAGTCATTCACCTCCCCACTTGTTCTTCATCTTCAGAAGAATCTTGGCTATTCTTGGACTTTGCACTTCCATATAAATTTAGGATCTTTTTGATCAACATCTCCCCATTTCCCCCACCCCTCAGTCCCTGGTAACCACCATTCTACTCTCTGTTTCTATGAATTTGGCTTTTTTAGATTCCCCATATAAATGATATCATAGGGTATTTGTCTTTCTCTGTCTGACCTATTTCACTTAGCCTAATACCCTCAAGGTCCACCCATGTTGTCGCAAATGGCAGAATTTCCTTCTTTCTCGTGGCTGAATAATATTTCATTGTATACAAACACCACATCTTCTTTATTCATTCATCCATTGATGGATGCTTAGGTTGTTTCCATGTCTTGCCTGTTGTGAATAATGCTACAATGAACATGGGAATGAAGATATTGGTAGATGTTCTTTAGCAGATTAAGGAAGTTCTCTTCTATCCCTAGTGTAATAATTTTAAAAATATAAACTAATGGCAAATATTGTTATATGATTTTTTGCATCTATTGATATGATCATGAGTTTTCCCTTTAATCTGTTAATGTGGCAAATGATGTACATTTTTTTTTTTCGAAGATTGGCCCTGAGCTAACATCTGTTGCCAATCTTTCTCTTTTTCTTTCTTCTCCCCAAAGCAACAGTACGTAGCTGTATATCCTAGTTGTAGGCCCTTTTAATTCTTCTGTGTGGGATGCCGCCTCAGCATGGCTTCATGAGTGGTGAATACGTCTGCACCCAGGATCCGAACTGGCAAACCCTGGGCTGCTGAAGCGGAACGTGCAAACCCAACTGGTGTGCCATTGGGCCAGCCCCATGACGTACATTTTTAAAACTTTAAAAATTGATGTATTACTTACATGTAGAAAAATGTACACATCATAAGCGTATTGCCTAATGACTTTTCAAAAATTGAACACACATGTGTCTAGCAGCTAGATCAAGAAACAAAACATTGTGAGCACCCTAGAAGCCCCTGCCCCCTTCCATTTATAGATTTATAATGTTAGGGCCGGCCCCATGGCTTAGCGGTTAAGTGCGTGCGCTCCACTGCTGGCGGCCTGGGTTCGGATCCCGGGCGCGCACCGACACACCGCTTCTCCGGCTGTGCTGAGGCCGTGTCCCACATACAGCAACTAGAAGGATGTGCAGCTATGACATACAACTATCTACTGGGGCTTTGGGGGAAAATAAATAAATAAAATCTTTAAAAAAAAAGATTTATAATGTTAAATCACCTTTTCTTTCCTGGAACAAACAAAACTTAGTCATGGTGTATCATCATACTGCTGGATTTGGTTTGCTAATACCTTGTTTGGGATTTTTGCATCTCTGTTCATGAGTGTGATTGGCCTGATATTTTTCTCTTTTGTCCCTGTCTTTTGGTTCTGGTTTCAATGTCAAGGTTATACTAACCTCAGAATGAGTTGGGGAATATTCTGTTTTTCTCTTCTATGGAAGAATTTGTATAAGATTGATATGATCTGTCTTGAAAGTTCTGTAGAACTCACTGATAGAACTTCTGGGCTGGGTATTTTTTCTCTTTCCTTTAAAAACTTTTCATATGCAAAGTTTCAAATATATACAAGAGAGTTTGTATACAAACATACACAAATGAACTCTAGTTCATTATACTAGAGACAGTGGTATGGTGAATCCCCATGTACCCGTCTACAGCTTCAAAACTATCAACTTGTTCCAAACCTTGTTGTATCTATCCCCCTTCTACTCCTCCGCCCACTGGATTAAATATCAGAAATCATATAATATTGTTTTTAAACACATCATTATGTATACCTAAAACATAAGGCAACATTCCCCCAATTAAAAAAAGTCAAACTTAGTGAAAAGTTGCAAGAATATTACAGGGAACTCCCATATATCTTTTATGTTGATTTACCAATGCCATATTTGCATTCTATGTGTTTAGATGTAAATATATGCATGTGTATGCACACATATTTTTTAATCATTATATATGTATATATGATTTTTTTTTAAAGAATCCTTTGAAAGTTGCAGTCACTGTTATAGTTCACTCTAGCTACTTCAGCCAGAACCGGGAC